CAGCTTCAATCTAAAATATGCAGATTCAAATAGCACAAATTTGATTCGGTATTGAAATAAATCTTTGACACCCCATTAGTTATAATAAATTTCGAAAGTGGTAAATTTCAGTGCGTCAATAAAACATACTAAAGCTATTACTATTTAGTGTATACTTAATTAGGATGGAATTTTCTCTCTTGCTAATATTCCTCAAATTTCGCAAACCTTAAATTAAATGTAATTGGTAATGGAATTTCGGCAAATGCTATTTTCGATATTTTTTTAAGTCACAGAAATTTCGCTTAACAGAACTCATCATAACCATAATCATCATAATCATAACTATCAAAAAGGAAGAAAACTAATCTTAAAGCGTTATAAAAGTCATGAATTCAAATGTAAAAAGTTTAGTGAAAATCTTTACTGTGGCTGAGACACATTCGTTCAGACGGTGTTACCTAACGTTATCTAAGTTAGTTAACATTAAAATCACGTTTTACATATATTCTTTTGACGCTTCTCCGTCGTGTTGGCATATATTGGTTCAAAAATTGCTTTTCTCGTATTCCAAAAGCTATCCGAAAACCACTGAATCCTTACTTGAACTGCAAATCTGAATGTGAACACTTTCTCTTGCTGAAAAATTGTTTCATAGAGATAAATCGCTTTGTAAATAAGCTTTTCAGTTGTTCTTTCCCCATTCAGTCCCCCTTCCATGTTGGAGCAGTCAATGGACTGCGCCCCCCCCCTCTCCGCCCTCGTGATATCGAAAGATTCTTTCAACATTACGAGTAAGCGGACATCCCGCAAAAATGGACTGAAACGTTGAAGGAAGATTTAGTCCCATCATTTGAACGACCATGCAATTTGAGGGGTACGGGACACCCCGCCAGATTTGACCCCAAAATCATATCATGTGAAAAATTAATGCAGAAGTGGACAAATTATTGGCAATATTATATTTATGCAGGATAGAATAAGGTTCAAGTAAGATGTTTTTTTCTCCCGAAAAATACTTTTCTACCGTTCAATGTGTAGATTGTTTTCGTGCATATTGAATAATGCAAATTACGTTTTGAATAGTTCCAGTTAAGTTTGAATGGTCACAGGATGATCTTGCGAAGAAAAAAACTGATTGCCATATTTAACTACAGTTTACAATCGGCGATTGAAGTTTTGAAACTATTTTGTACTATTGTCATACTGTGAACAAACTATACATTTGATGATTTGATGAATCCTTGAAAGTCTTTCTTTGTTCCTCGATGCGTGCCTGTTTGCATTTCAGTTTCCAATAGTGTAAGAAGTGAAATTTTTATTGAGATGCAGGTGAAGCCTAATAGTGCAATGCAGGTTTCAAAGGTAAACAGGTCACGAAAGTACAGCAATGCTTGTCTACAAAGGCGTCTATTAAAAACGCGGGGGATTTCAATTAATTCAGTTCAACAGTAAAGTTCAGAATTAAAATGTAATATAATCTGTTCTAATAAAATAAGATACCTGATTTTGCCAATAAATTGTTGACATCTGTAGCTAGGCGAGCGTCTCTCTCACTCTTCGCACGAGGTGAAGCAAAAGCATCTCTGCTTAAACGAACGAGATGGTAGTTAATTCAGTGAAGCAATAAAGTTCATACGGAAAAATTACGAAAGCAAATTTCTGTTTTGTGAAAAATATACGTATTTTTTTAAACGTGATTTTTCTAATAATTTGTTCACGATTGTAGCTTTGTGCGTGAGTGAGGCGGCCGCAACTACGCTTAAACGAGCGAGATTGTAGTTACTTCAAAAAAGCAATCAAACTCAGACTGAAAAATTACGCGAGTACTTTCTATTTTGTGGAAATTTAAAAAAAAACGACATTTTGCCAATAATTTGTCCACAACTGTAGCTGTCGCCTCTCACGATCCGTCATGACCCCAGGTGAAACAGACTGCGCATACAAGCGAAATTGTAGTTACTTCAGTGAAGCAATCACGCTCAGACTGAAAAAAATAGTGCTATTATACTCTAGTGTTGTGTGAAAATAAATCGCGCTTTTTTGAAAATTTTCCTTTTGTTTGCATAAAAAGAGTTTACGCCCGTAGCGACGCGCGTCTGTCCGCCTCTGCGCGAGGCGAGGTGAAGGCGGTCGCTTGCACCTTGGCAAATAGAGGGCGCCGTACGCGCGCGGCGGCGCGCCGCGCCGCAGTCCGTGGCGGAGGCGACCGCGGCGATGCCCGTCGAGGTTCTGGAACGACCGTCGCCCTTCCGCCGCCTGCTGGTAACGCGGCTGCCCACGGCCGCTGGCAGTGGCTCGCGATAGGAAAAATGCCTAGCTGCGGACATCGCGAGAAACTTGCAGCATCGATGTCCGAGATACTCTTGGACGCAGTTTGCGACCCTTGTTTCCTCTCATTGCTAGTGGACGCGTTGTTCATAATTAAGTTACGTTGTGTCTCTCGTGTTCAAGAACGAATTGTTTTGAGCATTTAGTATTCAATGTTCGAAAACATTAGGGAATGTATAATTAATTTGTTGTTGTAATTATCGAGAGGTAATGTCATTGTGACAGATGGATCCACGAGTAATGAATTTTTTGTTTCGTGTTACGGTGTCAGACGTGCCGCTGTCAAACAATTTAAATTTTCCCGACGTGCGTCTAAGAATAGAGAAGGAGCCGCGGCATTAGTCTACTGAACTTCGTATGTGATATTAAACAGTCAAAATGTTTGGGCAAGACAGGAAAATGCAAAATCTTAATGAATGTTTTAATTTCATCATATCGAACAGCTGCGTCATGTCAGAGAGAAGGCCGCAGTTCAAGAATAATACTGTGTCGATAAAATCAGAATCAAATTTATGGAAGAAAAAGCTTCGTTCATCAGTCATGTACATTTATATATTTTTCCGAAGACCAAAATCACGTTTTTTTCTCTCTTTCATTAATGTTTTAACCAACATTCCATGTTAATGGCTATACCGCATTCATTTTTCTCAAAAACTTTTCATAAACATACGGTACAGAAAAAGGCACTTAGCCTTCACGTTCGAGGTTTATTGGCATGAAGTGTCAATGCTAAATTGAAACAGGCCACATAGTAAATATTACATTAAAATAACTCTTTGTATTTAAAGTGTGGAATAGTGTTTTTCATATCGATGTACACAATGTGCTAATGAAATTTCCATATTCTAGTGGTCATAATTTCAGCAGTCTGTAGAGAAAACGTAGAGGCCTTGTGTTTAGATGACACCAATTCTCTAATGTGTGTGTGTTGTGCCTCTGGTTTCAGAGCTATCGGGCTAAAGGTGGACGTTTCTTCAGCGCCAGCACAGAGGACCCTGCGTACACGGGCGATTCCAGTCACGAAGGCTCGTTCAAAGGGACCAAAACTTCCAAACAGCGATGGAGCGGCCTCTTCGGGAACAGCAAGGCGAGTATTATTTGTTTGTTTGTTTTTCTCCAGTAGAAGCGATTTTTAAATGTGTTAATCAAATATATTTTTGTTAATTTCAAAACTTAGTATTCTTGAAATGAGTGTTCAAATTAATTTTATTGTTGATTGTAAAAAACTCCTTAGAAAAATGAAAACTCCTTCTAATTAAGTTGTATTATACTAGGTAAACCTAATTATTTCAAAATTTCTATCCAGTAAATTATTTTTCATTCAATATTTCATTAACATTTAAAATCATTGATAAACTGTCATGGAAGAGATGTTGTAATATATGAGATGTTGCTGTATAATGTACAATATTAAAAGAAAATTGTTAATAGTCATTGTAAAATGTGTTGCAGGATACAAAGATGGAGAGTCTAGTAGAGCTTTTGAACAGTTATACAAAACAAGGCATTCCTCGTTTGACACTTTCTGATCCTAGTGTTGAACACATAGATGAAAGTAAGTCTCGTTGTGGATATTCATTATTTTAATACTATAGAATATTACAAATACAATATAACTGAATGTTAGGTAAGTACAGTTGATTTTTTTTTAATTTCTTGGGAGTATAAAAGTACAAACACACCTTTTCAGAATGATATAATAAATAATTTCTAGTTGTATCAAATGCAATAAATTGAAATATTTTTCAGATCTGTTCACACTTGAAGATGACTGGCGGGATATTGTAACAAATCCAAGTCAACTCTCTGAGCGCCAGATACACCAGCAAACTGCTATATGGGAACTAGTGCAGACTGAACATGCATATATTCGTACCCTAAAAGTAGTGACTGATGTAAGTTGTATTATAACACATAAGCTCATAGCTTTTAGTTTTTAAATGAAATAATTACTGTGGGTATTTGAATTTTCTTTTGTGTGTACTTACATGTTCGATATTTTTGTTTTGGGTTGTCGACTATAATAACATTATTGTAAGCCCTATTTCATTTGTGATAATCTTCTATACAAGTTACATTTGCTGTTGTGAAAATGTCTATTTTCATATTGTGTTTCAATTTCATCATTGTTATTTTTATTTTACTTCAAAAATTGTTTTCAATGAAATTATATAATGTAATTTAAATTGTGTAATGTAATAATTTAATCAAATGCATTCATCTGTGATTTTCAATTATATATTTGAACACATATTTTATAGCATGCTTTATGGTTCTAAATAATAGGAGATTATTACTAAAAAATAATTTATATTCACAATAGTTCATTTAAATTGCTATTTTTCACAAATGCATATTATTTTATTATGTATAGTTGATTCATATTATAGAGAGTTACCTTTATTATATTAAGAGGCAAAATATTAGACTAAATTTTGATAAATCTTTCAGTAGTTCTGAAATTTTCTTTATCATTGATATTTAAATCTCTCTGGACTGATGAGGGCAGATTGATAGAAAAGACATTGAAAAAGAGAGAACCATATAATTCTACAAAATGATTATTCCTGTCATGTAAATAAAATACATCTTCTTATTCAGCTATTTTTGGCATGCCTGAAAAACCTCCAAGCATCAAATATTCTCAACGAGATTGATACATCTCGTCTATTTAGTAACATCACAAATATCTACACTGCTAACTGTGTATTTTGGATTGATGCAATTCTTCCAATGATACGGATTGCCCGAGAAGCTAATAATCCTTTGGACCCGTCTTGCATGATTGATGGTTTTCTGAAGGTAAAAATCTTTATATAACTGCTATTCACCTAACCTCCTTTAGATACAGAAAGTTGTGAAAGAATGGAATAGAATTATATTAATTTGTAATTTGTATTTCTATCTATGGTATAAATGAATGTTAATTATTGAGTAGACAACAAGCAAAAAAAAATACTGTTTCAAATATGGGTTTTTTTTTTTAAATTTATATTTCAGTTTGATGATGTCTTTCATCCATATCAAAAATACTGTTCAGAGCAACTCCAATGTCAATTATATTGTCGAGAAAAACATCAGGAAAATGAGATGTTTACTGCATATCTTGCGGTAAGTTTCATGAAGTGTAATTTAATTCTTCATTTAATTTTTGTATCATTTGTTTGCTAATTCTTGTTTTTTTGTTGTAGTGGTGTGAAACTCAAAAAGACTGTAATAGGTTGCGATTGATGGACATTTTGGTGAAACCTATGCAACGATTGACCAAGTATTCCTTGCTTTTGAAGGCTGTTCAAAAAAATACCCCTCATGATGAACAGCGAACAAACTTGGCACGAATGGTGAGGCAATTATAGAACATAACAGTTGTGTAGGACTTAATGCTCAACTTATTTGAAGCAATATTATCTAAACTTTATTTGTGAAAATGTACATTAATACACTTATCATTTCTTGCAGATTCATTGTGTAGATGAATTTGTTCATAATGTAAATACAAATATGAGGCAGAAAGAAGATCATGAAAGGTTACGTGGTATTATTGCTAGGATAGAGTCCTATGATGTGGTGGTAAGTAATCTTATAGAGGATTGGGGAGAAAAGAAAGGCAGAAAGAAAAAAATGATAAAATTTTTGGTAATAGAAAGAAATTCACAAAATTTCATGTGTTACAGGACTCTAAAGATGATGAACTAGAAAAGCTTTTGAGGTCATACAGCGAGTTGGATCTTACAAGTCCAATGCCTGGGTGCCATGTTACACAAAGACGATACCTTCTCTTTGAAAGTGACCTTAAATTTAGAGACAATACTGGAAATAAGGTAAGCAATTGGCACAGTTTCTGTACTAATTGTTGGTCGTTGATACTAATTCCTCTAGGCAGAGAATCATAATATTAAGAGATACACTGTTCGATCTTTCCAAAAAGTTAATACATTAACTTTACTGCAACTTAAGGTGGGGTAAGGGAGGTAGAGGCAATGCCAGGGTAGTCCTGACTCTCACCCAGCATTGCTGCCACTTGCAACACTGTATTAACTTGGTTAAAAAGAATAAACGACCATAATTTTAAAAAAAATGTTCTTTAAGTCAATGCCATTTTTGTATATTAACAGATAGTGTTTTAGCAGTGGAGCAAGCAATTGTTACTAAATTACCCTCATCACTTCTTATTTTGCAGACAGATGTTCACTGCTTTCTCTTGACTGACATGCTGCTTGTTTGTAAGGCAGCCACCAAACGTAGTGGGGGTGAAGGTCGTATGAGAGTTGTTCGTCAGCCATTTGTAGTGGAGAGGTTGATGGTTCATGAATTGGGCCGAGACCCTCCTGGGTTGGGAGTAGTTTATCTAAATGAGTATCGTACTGCCACTGCTGCCTTTATTCTCACCTCAGGTGATGCCCAGCTTATCAAGGTAAATGTTTGACTTTGACAATCAACTTAACAATATTTCATCTATTTATTATAGTGATAACAATCTTTTTGTTGTGTTAAAATTAGGCATGGGCTGACCATATTCGCAAAGCACAAGATTTGTATGCAGCAGCAAAATTAGCCTCTATGTCCACAAGTGTGCCTCCTACACAAGTTGTGACTCGACAACCCAGTGCTCTGTGGAATGATGAAGAAGCAGAGGAAGTAGAAGTTCTTGAATTAGATTCTCAAAGTTGTGCGTCATTAAGTATGGGAGGTATTGCAAGCCGTAGTCCACGTGGAGGCTCAAGTCGAGGGAGCAGAGTGTCATCGCTTGCCCACTCCCACAGGTAGGTATTCTTTTTAAGTATTTGTTTCCTTTGAGGTAGTACCCCATTAAGTGAATGTTCTTGGATTGTAAAATCATTGTTGCTGTGTTTTGGAGACCAATTTAATCGATCAATGTACTTGAATAAACGAACTAGTTCATACTTATAGCTGACTAAAAATATAAACATATAGTTCTTGTAAAGTACCTAAACACAATTTCAACAATTAATTAGATTGATATATCATTAACTGCATGCTTTAACTTCATAACTCGATCAAATCCATTCCAACTAAACCCAAACCTGCATGAAAGCAGAGGGTAATGTGTGAATCTCCCACTTCCAGTGGTTCTATGGACATGAATGAAGTGTCATCTGTGAGCAGTGTAAGTCACTCTCGGGGAGTGAGTGTGGAAAATGAGCTGAGAGGTTCAAGTCTTAGCTCAGATGAAGGCATTCCTGGTCTGCCATCTCTTGCTGGAGGAGTAGAGGTGGGCAGCAAGCCATCACAGCCTCCTCCTCCTTCTGCATCTCCACGAACTGACAGGTGCAAATTATAGCATTTCTATGAGAATTTGTCAAATTCAAATTGTTTACTTTTTAATCCCTTTTCACATCTTTTACAAGATTTTCTAACTGTATTGAATTTTAATATTTTAATTTCATAAATATCCATCCATTAAAATCCCAAATGAAGTTTCTTGTTCAAAGTTTAAATTTTTTTTTAAATCTACCATTCATATTTTTTGCTTCTTGAGATTGTCAAATTGTATTTTTATATTCATTTCAAAATAATTGTTTATAGAAAGGTCTTATTTCTCTTGAATATCTTTTAATTTTTGTAATCAAGTAATAAATATTGTTGTTTCCCTTTCAGGCGCTCTATATTATGCAAATCTCCAACACCCAACACATTGAGTGTACAAGTGCCGGTATACTCTAGCCTGGGTCAGTCTCTGCCGAATTTGAGTCTCGCCACATCTCCAAGCAGTGGTAGTCATTCTGGCCATCCTAATCCTCCTACTTCCTTACTCCTTGTTCCTCCATCCACATCCTCTAAAAGTCATCACCATCACGGTGGACTCTTAAGTCCAGGGCATCGAGGAGTCTCTTATCCTCCTCCATCGCCACCTCGGGGTTCTCTTCGACGAGGGTTGGCTCTCTCCCAGTCTCGTAATCCTCCTCTTATTAAGACACGGCACATAAATTCAAGCTGCAGTTCAACGGTTGGGTGTACTGCAACCAGTGGCCCTTTATTGAGCCCAACTCATACTTCAGGTGCTGCAACCACAAGTTTTGATTTTGATGTTCCTGTTATTGCAGGTATGTTAATTTATGTTTTTGATTAAAAGTTTTGTTTTACTTTGTTGGCAAAATAAAAAGTGATCTCCTTGATGCTTAATTTTCCTTTCTTGTAATGATAGGTGTTTCACCACCCAGTGAAGAATGCCCTACCCCAGAGCCTCCACCAGAAATAAATTCCAGAACACACAGGCATCCTGTGATGAAACGCCTTGCACGGACTGAAAATAGACGCTATCACACAGCTGGAGCGATTGATGATCTTAAAGTGAGTAAAAAAACAAAATAAAAACTCCTCATAATGAAATTCAAAGGATTAAGAGCTTATGGGTTTTTGAAAGTTGTATTTATCTGGAGAGTGTACCAATGTGTTTAGGTTTTAAAGTAAACCAACCAAACTGTAGTAATGAATGTGATATAGGGAGTTTTCTGTTGTAAACTTCTTTATTACAGTGTGTCAGCAATCAAGTTTCCAGTTAATTCAAAGAGTCATATGGACAATGACAATATAGAAAACAGTAAATTACAGAACACAATAAAAATATATACACAAATATGTAACTCTTACATAACTGCGTCATAAACGTTACATGGCATCATCATGATACGAACTCCAAACCAGTAAAATTATAATAACTACTTCAGTTTGGATGAAAATAATTTGAGATTTTTTAACGCTTGTAATATCAGGAGGAAACTTAATAACAACTAACCTAAAATTACTGATGTGAGACTTAAAGTATCTAGCTGATTTGTATTCATTTTCTGCACTGTTTTTGTACTGTATATAGTTTCTACCACTAGTTTCATAATTATATTCATCATTATTTAAAGCGAAAAAACTATTTGTAATTAAATTCTCACCACAACATTAGAACATTTCATCCACCATATCAAAATGTTTTTCAGCTTTGAAATTAAAAATCTTACTTGCTTTTATAGAAGCAGAATAGCAGAGACACAAGTATCCACAAGCGATTGTCATGGAATTGTGGGCAAGGACAGCACCATGGACAGCCTGGTTCTGCAGGAGGTGCTGATCCAACAGGCAAATGTGTGAGTGTGGAAAGTGTCCACAGTTCCAGTGGAGTGAGTTCAACTGGGAGTGCACAGTTTGGGAGCCTTGCCAGTGGATTAGAAGAATTTGGATCTCTAGATTTAGAAGGTTGGAATTTAAGTTCATTCTAATTAGCATTAGAAGCAATTATGTATATTAATATAATAAATATGAGAATATACTTATAATTAAATTAAATGTTCCTGAAAATTAATGTGGGTTTTATTCATTATAGCTTCATCCCTGCAAGTGGTATGCGAGAACCCTAATACTTGTTGTTGTGAGGTCCCGTCATCACTTCACTCATTTGCATCATCTCCTTCTGTAGAAGCAGTTAATATTGAGGTATGAAATTAAAATTATTCGGAGGTTATCATTAATTTTGAAATAAAATTATTTGTGGTTTTTGTAGAGTTCTACATTTATATTCTTTTTTATTTATTTACTTTTAGTCACTTGCTATTCACTCTTTTTTTTCTTATGTGAAAATTATTTTTAAAACTTTCTTTTCCCGTGTGAGCAGAAGACGGGAATTTTTGATTCTATTGTTTTATCTTAGTTCAGAGATTTCTTGCTTAACCCCCCTTTGTACATAATATTTCATTTTAAGTATAGAATATTAAAACTCTTACCTCGTGTTCAATTTGTTGAAACATTTTTCTGTAGGTTACATCTTAAGTTAAGTGAGTCAAACTTCATATTTCACATTTGCACAATAAAATTGTATACTCAATAGTGTTTTTATTTGGAACTAGGTGCAGAAATTGTAATTAGAATCAATCATGATTGTAAAAGTAAATATTGGATGTAGATGAGAAGTCGAAATCAGTTTATTGTAGGCTTATGTTTTACTGAGAAATACTGGTAAATCCTCTCTTTTCTCAACTAGTTGTTTTTACTGTTAATTTTACATTCAATGTTATAATATGATCAGTATTTTCCTAATAATTCTGAACTTGTCTATGATGCTTTTTTTATCTGCAAACCAAAATTTTAGTGTTGTTGGCATTCTTATTTATACATTTTATATTTTGTGCAGCTCCTTAAAACACAACTTACTCCAACACCTGCAGACCCAGGAGGAGTTGATCAAGCAATCACTTTACCAGGAACTCCTGCAAAAGCACCTGAAAGTCACCTAGGTCAGCAAAACCGATCTGATGGAAGTCGCTCTCCAAGCAGGGATGAAGTGCTTAGAATTAAAAATTTAATGCTGAGTGATTCATCGATGGAAGCATCGTAAGTAGAATACTATTTCTATTATAGCCAAAGGTGTAATTTGACAATGGTTTCAATTTTAATTATTGATTCTTTCCAGAAATGTGTGATCAAAGGAGACCTGAGAGTATTATTGTTGGTTCAGTTAGTTCCCTGGTTCATTTTGACAAATGAACATAAAGGGTAAAATAATTCTTCAGTGAGTAGGCTTCATCTTCATGAATATCTCGGAATGGAGGGTCAGATCACAGTTCTGGCCAGAAGTCATCACTAAGTCAAAGGCAGCTAGCTGTTTACATCTGATGCAGTTCAACACATTCCAGTGTACTTACATTGTATACAAAAGAATTTTCATGGAATTGAATATATATATATTGATATAAATGTCGATGTTCTGCAGCAATTCAGGAAGTAAGAGAATGGTCCAGGTGTCCACCGAGTTCGGAAGCGAGGTATGGACAGGTGTAAATTTGGAAAGTTTATTCAGCACACACTGAATGGAGATTGTGCAAAGAACTTCTTTTACTTATTTTGTCTCCAAAAGTGATGTGGATTGCAAATTGAAGAAAAAATAAGTGTGTGTTTTCCATTTGAAGTTATTGCACTTATGGACCCTTCATTATCTCCCTTCTGTAGAACTAATTAGGCCAGACATCTGGTAAAAGTAACATAGTTATTTCACTATCCTTGAGCAAAAGTGTAATTTTAAGATATACATTGAAGGGGTTTAATTAAAAGCAATTCATTCACCTACAAATTCTTTATTTCCCATACCAGAATAAATAACTTGGGGCCACTAAAAACTTTTAAGCGATGTTTCATAGTTGCTTGGACCATTTTGAGGATTAGAAATAAAAGCATATTTAATATTTTTAGTGAACATTTACAGTACATATTTTTTCTTTCATACCCTTTTTTGAACTTCTATTTATGTAAATCAGAAATGACTATACAGTAAAGTATTCCAAAAAATATATGAAATATAATTATTGCATAAAAATATTAATTTTAAATGCAGCATCATAAAATAATATTTAGCATGTAGTTTGCTGATTTTAAGGAAAATTGAATAGGGTTCGTTAGACAAAATAAAAATTCATTCCAACCAGATTACTTCATTAACTACATCTGGATTATAATTTTATTTTAATTTCTTATATCAAAAGATAATTGATGTAATAGTGCATAATCTTCTACAAGAAAACATTGAGTATGGTTAAATTACAGAAAATTTTTTGCATTGCTTGTTTCATCTCTAAGGATAATTTGATGAAGCAATGTTTTGAAACAAAGGGACCATACTCAGTTTAAAGGTCATGAATTGCTGTTTTATTCATCTTTCTTAGACACATTTCACTTTTTGAATATTGCAAATATTCTATAATTAAGTAAGATTTCTTAATTTACACCTCTCATTTCTTCTGTTTCCATTTGTGATCCTTGCATATTTATTCTGTTGTTTATAAGATCTGTTCAAAATGAAAAATCTTGTGCATTGCTTGTATAATTTATCAATGGGGAAAATCATATTGCTGTTTGTTCATTTATATTTTAGAAAATAATGTATAGTTTAATTAATGTGAAACATTTTGATGAAGTCACATCAAAAACTAATGCTATCATAAAAATAAACTGTAAATATGTTAAATATATTGTATTAATGTGAATGTTTTAATGTGATAGCAGATATATTAGTAATCTGCACATTATGTTAATAATTGCATTAACTGCTTGGCAAGAGAAGACTACCAGTGTTTTATTCATGTACATATTGAGAAGTTGCATTTACATTATAGTTTGAAAAACTTGTGAAGTGAGAACTGTAAAGATGATAGATACATTTATATTATACAACTTCCCTTGCAAAAAGTAAGAATGCCATATCGGTAATGAAAGATGTGTTGATGAGAGAGATGGTTGCGTAAAGATATCTTATTGTGGTGAGACTCAGAAGTGTGCTATGTCTGATATAGAATATCAGTACATGAACTCTTCAATGGTAATGGATGTTAATGGACACTCTTTTTAAATGGTAAAATATCTCTGTTAGGGCTTACTTGTGAAGGATAGATGGGTAGCTATTTGTGTTAAGCAACTAAATTGTTTAATGGATACTGTGATGACCTGAATGGCTGAGTACGTGAGCCTGCTGTAGCTTCTCTTATCAATCAGTAGCAGTTTTGAACACTGTTCTTTGTAAAATACAAGTAATAAAATAAAGGGGAGTACGTCTTACTAACTTACAACTTCTTCGGAAATGAAGTAAGATTTTTTATTGTAGGTTAATATCCAGCTGGACATGTACAGGTAGACTTATGTAGATGCCTTTTAATGTAAAATTTTTTTAAGCTATAAAGTAATATGCCATCTTTATATACTATTTTGCTACAACTTTCATGACGGCCTACATCTCAATATTGATGGATCAAGTATTCTATAACAAGTCTGTCGATACTTATACATTCTTCTGGAACACTTTTTTAATTGAAAATGTTACTCTGCTCTACTTGGCGTAGATTTGCGAGTGTAAATCCTAGTTTGTGATGTTTAATATAGTTCAGCAGTAATGCTTTTTATTGTGGAGAATTAAAGGAGCATCAAAAATATATTAAAAAATAGTTGAATTTCTTTTTACACCTTTGCTGTCACTGTATATCAATTTAAAACAATTTTTAGTTTTTAATAATTTTTCATTTTAAAAGATTGGTCTTTTCTGAGCCCAGAAATTCATGCATTTCTGCAGTTGTGAATTTTGAGAAAAACTTAGTTTAAACAATGCAGGATCTGTTTTTAAGCTTCTTTTCCTAGCTTTCTTCCATCTCATCTTTGCCTCCTTTTGAGCCATGCAAATAAATTAGTCTAGAATAAGAATAACTATAAAAGTCATGCATACATTGACAGCAGTAAAGAAAAGAAAATTACTTTAGATGCTCTGCAGACTGCAGAGCATTATGTATATCCATTAAAATGTATTCAGAGAAAACTCGAATATATAAATATGCTGTGAAAGTGAACTTACAAATTTTTTCTAAAAACTTTGGAAGTGATTTTTGTTGCTCCTCATAAATTTTAACACCACCCTCATTTTTTCAATTTTTGATTTCTTTCTCTAGCCTGTCTGATGATGGGGCTTTGCAGTTGATGCTCAGGAAAAGATCATAGTTAAAAGTAAATGGTTTCCTTAATTGTTGTAATGTTGTGTATACTACAGCTTACTGTTTTGTTTTAAGCTGAAAAATTAATAAGTGTCCTGTTGTATTGTTGACCATAGTTGTTAATATAGTACTTTCAGTACAATTATTTGAAATTGTCTTCTCTTAGACTGTTTGGTAATATGTTGTTTGTGTAGCATACAAAGCCATTTCAGCCAGACAAGTTCTAGACTGAAATGGACAATAATGGTCTCATATTAAATTTTAAAATCGTCCTGAACATATCATAAACTGATAGTGTTCAGGTTAAAAAGCAAAGTGTTCTAAAAAGAATAGCAAAATCCCCACACAGTTTCAGACAGAGAATGTATTCCCATATTGTTGAGTAAAAATGTTTAAATGCTCAAGTACGTGGATATTGTCATTCAGTGTATTTATGAAAAATCTACATATTAAAGTTAATTTTGTAGTTCCAATAATCATCTGGGAAATAGTTTTTTGTGATACTCCTATGTTCTGGGTAATATTTCATTCAGTTTATTTGCATACATTCACATGATGCACAATAAATTTGTACATTCACACTTATATTTTTTTTTCTTCAAAATTATAATTCCTGCTTTTTTTATTAGTACTTTGCTGTTTTTTGGATCGATTCTTTTCCTTGTATTTTCTTCATTCTTTCAAATTGTCTTTTGTTTCTTGTTCAATTTTTCAGCCTGCTGCTTTAACATTTTCTTTTTGACCTATTAATTCATATTTTCTGTTTTATGCTTTTTCATGTGCAACTTTGTTTCATTCATTATTTAGTTTCCAGAATATCTTATAAACTTTATTTAGTATTACACACTTGCACAATGGTGTGTCTTACACACTTATGGAATGTTTGACTGCTTATATTTGTCTTTCATATCTGAATTTCTTTTCTCTTCCCAATTTCCTTTCTTTTCTTCAATACTTTTCAATTTTATTATTTAAAATAGAGAAATAAAATCAAGTTTGTCATCGTTAATTTGTGGAAGGTAAATTTTGTTTTCTTTTTTGCATAATGCCCATTTTCTACATTTATTTCATCAGATGAATAGATTGAGTTTCATAGGAAATTCTTTCAGTACAGTTTATTTTGTACAGTAGCCCTACATTGTGTCAATCTAAATTTTTAGTAAGATCCAGTAAGTTCCATATCATATGTAGAAAAGATGTAAAAATGTGAACTATATGTTGTAATGGATAATTTGTTAGATTAGTGAATTAAGTTTGTTGCTTTGATTATAATTTTATGTTCAAAAACTGCACCATCTTCTTTTACAGAATGTGTAACCACTCTGAGCTGAATAGATTCTATAATTCTTGTATATCATACTATGTTAATGTTCAATTACATACATACATACATTACATACATGTCGCAACATCGATATTTCAAATTGTAATTTTGTATTGAAAAACTTTTGAAGAGTGAAACATTTTAGCATATTTCAGTCATATAGAAGTAGTAGAGACTGTTTTCACAATGTCTGTGAAAAATGGTGAGTACTCAATACTGCACAACAGTAGAATGTAAAACATCAATATTCACCTATTACTCACCTCCTTCATAGTACTTGGCATGTCTGGTGTGATGTATCACTGATACTTGTCAAATTAGAAGAGATTTGCTTATTTGTTGACTATTTTATCACATTCAGCACTAAGAAACAGAACTGTTGACATATAACATATTTAAGACTTTCTAAGCAAGCCCATGTAGTACTGAAAAGCACTCAACCCACATATTTTATAAGTAAATATTTGTAAATGCAGTAGTTTATGTAATTTGTGGCTGAATGGAGTGCTGTGTCAGTTGTCAGACAAGTTTGTGTGATTCATAGATATCAGTGTATATTCTTACATTTATTTCAATAATACATAATCTAGTGGGATCTCATACCCATCTTGTAGAAAAATTTGTTGCACCTCATCAAATAAAAGTATATTTTATACAACATTTGTTATTTCAAAGATAGCACATACTTACCACTAACTGAATTATTCCTAATCAGTACTTCACTAATAAGATATGCACATTGTTTTCAATGTAGAAATAACAACAAAAACCTGCATTATCCATCCCTAAATAACAATTGTAACTAAATCATGAGTTACTTTCCTTAGAAAACAATAATTCAAATTATGATTGCACATTACTTTTTATACGTGGATGTGTAGGGGTCAGTAATTTTATTAAACTAAGATGTTCATTTTCATTTTCTGTCAACGAAAGTACTTTTATCCCTTTTTGTTTTCATGTCTGTTTGTCTTCCAATAACTTTTAAAAATAATATACCTTACTTTTCTTGTTTGACAATAAAATAATTTGCACATAATACTGACTTTCACCAAAGTTAAGAGTTAAATTTAGATGTCAAGACATCATGAGCTGTGTAATTTATAATTAACGTATATTTTTTCTATCCTCCTTGTTTTGTTAATTTTATGCTCACAACTACACTTCTTGAGGTGATACATCTGAAATATTTAATTACCACCATCAAAGTTTGTTTTGCTATAGGAGATGGCTTGAACAAGGAGATACCCAAGCATTTTTTTCCCAATTTCATGACACCAAGATATTTTTAACACTTTGAAACAATAACATGAGTAGAAATAACCCCCTTTTTCTGAATCCGTTGTAATACAAAAATATATTCAGGAGAAAAAGTTGATTTAAAAAAATGCGATAATTGTATTTAATATTTTAAAAAAAGATAATTTTCCGTTAGTTGAAATGGGTCTTAAGAGCCCTGATAAGAAGAGTCCTTTGATGTTTGCTTTACCACCTTCTTGAAATAAAACAGAATTTTATTATATTTCCTATCTTTTTTGAGAATATGGAACAATAAATTGGGATTATGAAAATATTCAATAAGGTATCAAAAAATGTTTTGCTCGTATATTCATTGAATAACTTTTCTATGCAATTACATTGACTGTTGTCATGACATTCATACATGTTTCTTATTCTCTTTGTGAAGGAGAAAATTACAATTGTTTTTAAAAATTAAATAAAAAAACACATTATTATATTTGTGAATACATTGAACATCATACTGGTGGTACACGACGTCCTCTATATCATGACTACAATTTATAATGTTAATTAATAATTAAATAATTTATTTTATTATAACGCGACACTACGAGAAGTTGTAATTAGTACTATAGAACATTGATATATACCGTAGTTGAATGGATGAATATGTTTATCTATGGTAGTATATCTACGACCGCAACGCAAAGACGTCACGAATGTCGCAGGTACTGCGTAGACTGTGATGTTGACACGCCGTGACATATCTGCCCTATTATTGAGAACTGTTTGGCGTCTCGGTGGTGAGTAGATTTCTCAAAGATTTTTGGTCCCCGGACATATGATGCTAATATTTCGAGTTGCATGTGGATTTTTTCCCGTATCAATGTAGTAACTAATATATACTATGAACTTTCAACAGGCAAGTGGCGATCGCAGATGGTAGTAGGCCACAAATAGTTGATCAGTGTGTCCATCGTGGAGGTCAGTGACAGTTCGCAGAAACGACACTTACAAGTGATACGAATATTATGCAGACTCATTATTATATTTCTCCTTGAAGCGTGGCCTCCCGTGCTCTTACGAGGCTAGGCCACGGCACATGTTTATGTTGTTGTGTTCATCTTACTCCGGCGAAGACGTAGGAGAATGATCAATTTTTCTTTCGACATGACCTCGCAAGTGCCTATACTGCAAAACGCGTGGGGGAAGTGATTTGAAAATCCCCAGGGACAGTCATCATCGAGTTCGATTTCAAATATTTCAATATTCTTATTTGTAAACTCTATGAGGAATGTGGTGCCTTCCCCACAAACCATCTGCCAAATTGACTGATGTACTATCTCCAAAAGTGGAGATTGCCGCCAAGCGAGGTGGGAGCAGGGCCGACTATTGTACAGTGTTTCGATGGAGGACTGTTCAGACTTGTTCATTATTTTCAGGTAGGTGTTAAAATACCTCTGATAACATTACTATTGAGTCAGTCGCAGAAAGGAAAATAAGGGAAATCACCTCCCTAAAATGTTTAGTAATTTTTAATTTCAACTAGTCACGAGACTTTCAAGCAAAAATATCTACGGAAAACGAATAAAATCGCTGATGACTTTGTAGTTTCAACATTAATCCATAAAAGAAATGCGCGTATATATGCCCATGTAATTACGATGTATCTGCTAACTTGCGGCAATTGATATACGAATATGTCCAAAGATACAGACTTATTCCTCGTAAAAAGTTATTTCTTGGATCATTTTACCTTAAAATCCCATTTTGCACGTTTTTTGAGTTACAATAGTATTCCTCTATTTAGTTTGACATTTCTTGCGAAATATGTCATCACTATATAACAAATGATGGGACGCAAATAATTGCTAAAACTAAGTTTTTCGATAAACGGAACAAGGGTCAGTGTCATGTGAATCATGAACCTAGAGAAACATTGTCAAGTAAAAATGTATGAGTGTCTTATCAAAGAAATTCTGGACACCAGCTAGAGTGTGAACAGAACTTCTGAACTTCCGAAACACGTTTTTTGTAAGACATAATCGCACTATTATTGTTATCAAAACCTCTAGATGCTGAGCAAATATGAGTTTCTAGACGTAAGTAGAAATGTGTTAACCTCAAAAAACAAGAGTGATAATTACTCGACGGGTAGATATTAGTGGAAGATGTTAGATCAATTTGAAAAACCCTCTTATAGAAAAATATACTGTTTAAACACGTATCTGCATGTTCTGCCATAAAAGCACCAATGTACCCTAGCTTTCACGAATAATTACTAATTTCACATCATTGGTTTGAAACAACCAGTTTTTACATCTCCATGGTACCTTCAAGTTTTTGTTTTGTGAGATATCCATCTTCTGAGTGTGAAAATGGGATATCAATTTTTGTGATACACTTTTAACTATGTGTTCAATGCTTCTGTGGTAAATATTGCAACGGGAGGTGAAGTTCTGTGTTTCCGTTTGCATAGCTGATTGGTAAGTCTGATGGAAAAGATACTGAAATCAATTCTATAAACTAATTTTTAGAACAGTCCTAAATTTATTTTTAACATCTACCATGTATCCTTTTACTAACAACCGGAAATTGTGAATGAAAATCGTAAAACTGCACTGTACTTTCCCAAATTATGAAGTTCATCCGATTCTTTGCACCAGAGACATAATTCTAATTACTTTTTAGGAATGTTGTAATACTGTGTAACCAAATATTTGAATCTTGACATTTGATCGAGAGGAAAACCTAAAATATCATTTTCATTTATAAATGACGTTTTCAGAGAAACTGTTGCCTTAAATAACAGTAAAATCGATATGAAATGAAATTTTATTTTGGGCAAAAAGTTAGGCAACCTTCTACTTGGAAATGTACTTTCCGAACCAAAAATTCTGCAATTTTTGAATTGGAAATAAAACTGTATTAACTATGTGTATAATTAACGTGTACGCCTCTGAAACATGTTCATACACGTTAGAGAAAATTGCAGATTAATATCAGATTGAAAATTGAATCCAGAAATAATTACAAGTAAAGGCAGGTCTTCCATGATTGCGTTTTCCTTCTTTTATAGCCTATGTTTAGAAGGAGTTTGAGCGTAGAAAGTACATTTTTTGCTTCTAGACTTTTATAATGTGAATAGCAATGTATATGACTCGTTTCGAGAGTGCAAGCTATAATTTGATTTTCTTATAGAATTTATGTACTTTATGATATAACGTATAAAAGAACAGTCTTTATTTGTTATTTATGTGTCTGCACCTGTCACAAGCAGACCGCAAAAGCAATTACCGTTTTTTCGGAGGTCCGCTAGACAATTTTAATTAAATTATGTAGATTGTAATACGGCCGGTAAAAGTGATAAATCAGATTTATTCATGTAAATGTGCAAATAATAAACTTGTACCAACAAATATTTGGCATATATTTGTTATAAAATATTTATTATGGATACAAAATTGTCAGTGTTCTTTTAAAATTCTTTCACCTATCATGTATGAAAACATTCTACTTTATATTATTAATAAATATTAAGAAAGTGAATTGTGAGCAAATATGGAGTGAAGGAGCATAAAATAGAAGTGATGTATAGAAGGGGATGCGGTGCTGCTGGGCAACTTGCCTCGGGCCCGATATCAATAGAGGCTCCGATTTGATTTTATTCAAAACGTGTATGGAAGGTATTGGAATTCAAATTAACCGCCGAAATTTATTTTTGTTCAATAGGGACTCTACTAATTCTGTTAAACTCTCGAATGTCAAAGAGTTAAAGATGGATCCCAATTACTTTCTCGTTATGGACGAGAGAGAAAGTTCCGTCTCTCCGCCCGTCTCTTCGCCCGTCTGTCTGTCTGTGCATCTGTCTGTCTGTGCGTCTGTCTGTCTGTGCGTGCGTCTGTCTGTCTGTGCGTCTGTCTGTCTGTGCGTCTGTCTGTCTGTGCGGTCTGTCTGTCTTGCGTCGTGTCTGTCTGTGCGTCTGTCTGTCGTGCGTCTCTGTCTTGCGTCTGTCTGTCTGTGCGTCTGTCTGTCTGTTTGCGGTCTGTCTGTCTGTGCGTCTGTCTGTCTGTGCGTCTGTCTGTCTGTGCGTCTGTCTGTCTGTGCGTCTGTCTGTCTGTGCGTTCTGTCTGTCTGTGCGTCTGTCTGTCTGTGCGTCTGTCTGTCTGTGCGTCTGTCTGTCTGTGCGTGTCTGCTCTGTCTGTTGCGTCTGTCTGTCTGTGCGTCTGTCTGTCTGTGCGTTCTGTCTGTCTGTGCGTCTGTCTGTCTGTCCGCCCGTCCGCACTTCCGTCCATCCGTCAGCCCGTCTCTCCTTATACTCTTTCTATCATGTTATCGTTGTTCCTTTGATTTATTACATTTAATTTATAAAATAGTCTTACTTTGTAAATATCCCTCGTGCTTTAGAAATCCTCAGATGAATTCACTCGTCGCTTCGGAACTTGGATATTTATCTATTATTTCCAAAGCTTTTGTGGTATAACTAATTAAGTACAGCTCTTATTCTTGCTTCTTGTCTCTTCGAACAATTAATATCTTTTGTATTATTTTTCAGAGAAAAGTGTGAATATAACGTTCAGATATTTGATTTCAACATGACCAGTATACATTTATTGCAGCAAGGCATACAAAAGGAAAACCTGGAAATTAAAATTCTGAGGTAAATAAATTTTTGATATTTTTTGACAAACAATACTATTTCTTTCTTAATATTGCCTTTTTTCAGAAGTGTTGCATTTGTGTTGAGAATATTTAGGTTACTAAATCAATATGGATTGTGAAATTGATATTTAGAGCCTCAGTATTTATTTGCCTGTGTTTTGTGAATCTTCAGTATGTACTTGTATGTTTCTTGCATTCCACATTGTATTTGTCTGGATACTGAGAATCTTTCTATGACATAATTTCTCGCTAATTAAGAATTGTAAATCCTAAAGCATTGTTTTCGAAATAAGTATACGCACCAACAAAAGACGCCATATTTGAGAGACTTTATTTGTTAATCAGGGAACTTCGAGGATTCAAGAATGAATAACGCATAACTAAAAAAATGATAAAACATGCATCTAAATAGTAAATGCAAAGACAAGATATAAGTAATTTCAGAAAGGTATTCTACATTAGAAGTTATTTATGATGTATAATTATTCGGAACAGCGTACGACAGAAATGCTCAGGATGTACCTGAAAAATATAGAAAAGGAAGAATGAACGTTGAGAGAAAAAAAAGTTGTGACGCTTCTTTGCGAATGTTCCATAGGGTTGTAAACTAATTAAAACTGTCTACAAACATTGAATGATTTTTTTAGTAAATACACATGAACAGTGAAAATAAAAAATACGTATGTTTAGGTAATGCAGAGAATCGACGTAGAAAAAATACAATTACTACTGCGAAGTAACCAAAGAACACATTCTCTAGTTAGAATTCATCATATTAAATATTAAAATTAATTAAAAACTACAGTACAGTTTGACTGTATTTTGGTTGTTACACACACTAACACTGAAAGGTAAAGTATACCTACGTTCATTAATTCAATGAATTCAAGTTCAGAATTAATGAATATTTGTATATGTAAGCACTTCATCAATGCCGGCGCTAGGGATTGGCGGATGGGGCGAGTGCCCAGTGCCTGGAGTCAGAGTCCAAAAACAAGGGAACACAAAAACATAAAAGAGATGAAAAAATAGTTCTAAAAAAGTAATGATGCTTTTAAAATTTGCGGTATTCATAAATATTTGACCTATGAATATATGATACGTTTTGATCTATGAATCATGATTTGACCTATGACACAGTTACTCCGATTACAGTGAACTATTGGGGACTAATATTTGGTTCACTATATCCGATTCAAAATTAAGTAGAATTTCTCCACAATGATTTATTGTATTAATATAGATATACAGAAAAATGTATTAACAACAATAATTAAAATTTTAATACATTTTTGACCATAAAAAATCAATTATTTTTAATTATTTACTTTTTTCGTTAGTAATTTCTGTAGATCTTTCTCCAGAGCTCATGCTCTCCGTACTTTATTATGCATGGTCCACAGTCTCTTAAGTATCGTAATGCATTCTTGTAGACTCTTCATTGCCTCTTGCATTGTTGGAACACCGTCCCTATTCTCCGAAGGCCCTTTCACTCGCCCAATAACTAGAGATGGTAGAGATGGTTTAGCAATTGCTAAAAATGCGAAATTTTACCAAACGTTGAAAAAAGTAGGAATTGCATGTTTAACGGCCAGTGCAATATATTTCTGAATGTTTTCAATCTGCGATAAAATGCAAAATCACATACACAGTGCGAAATGGTTGTGAATCTGCGAAATAATTGCTAAATTGCATTTCATGGTTTCCTTCGTGTTCGCTCTTTAACTAGGGATGAGACATCAACATCACATCCATGTTTGGAAACATTTGAGAGTGGGCATGTTTATTAATTTATAATTAAGACTTAACGGAAAAATTAAAAAGTAATAAGAACAATTCAAAGTACTTATCATGAAGTCTGAGCTCACAGGGTCATCTAAGGGTTCTCAGCTTCCTCAGTTCGTCGAACAGAGAAGGTCAAGGAAAGAAGAGAAAGTCCTTAAGTCTACGGCGCACGCGTTACTTCTTGTGCTTTTATTTTGTTGAATGGCGAAATATTAAATTAGTTTCCTTTTTTCCCTGATTTTAATGGGGAAAAATTGATAAGCATCAAAATATTTTTTTATCTGTGTCCTCCCTTAATAATATTTTTCTCAACAAATGCTACAAAATGCTAAATATTAATTTTTGTAATATAAAGCACTATAGAGTTAATTTCAAAATGCATTTTTATTAAAATTTAAAGTGCTGAATTCTGCCATCACTACTAATCCTTTCGGAAGCGGCAGAGCACAAGCGGCTAATGAAACTGATCGCTTTTCAACGCGCCGCGGGGGGTGTCACCAGGCTGTGGCATTAGCGCGCTCTTTGGCGCCTTCGTAGAACACAACGTGCTTTGTCCCACGGAATATCAAGTCAAACACCAAGCTTGACACTGAAGCAAGCAATCGCGTGTCGCCGCCGCCGCCAGTTGTAGCCCACGCACTACACGGCCTTTGGCTCCGCATTCAAAGTGAGTGGCATAAGGTCATGAGTAAGATCCCCTTTCCAGGTCCGCTACTTCACCTCGGTGGGAGACTTCTTCGATTGTGACCTTTGGCCCTCGATATTTGTTCCAAGCTGCCTAGTGTTGAAATTTGTGGCACTGAAGCGATATATTTTTTCCAGGAGGAAACTAATTTCTAGGACGTTGTATTTTCTTCGTTCACTATAGCCGAGGCTCAGAGTTCACTATAACCGAATCTTCTTGTGCTTATTTGAACTTATTATAAACGTTTTTATTATTTGAAGCTAACAATTACAAAAAACTCAAAGATATTTTTCGGGTGGCCAAACTGAAATCCCTCTCCAAGTAAATATGTTCTGGATTCTCCACTGTATCTATTAACGAAGCTAATCGACCTATTGATTTGCTTCCATACATAACGGTTTTCTTTGCGTGAACACAATTTTATCTTTCGTTATCAACTTAAATATTGTCTGTTTCTTAATAAATAAGTCAGCATACTACGTAAAAGTTATAATTTTAAAACTAAATGTTAGTCCTTAAATCACTTTCTTTAGAAAACTTATTTCGGCTTTTGCAAAACGTGGAAACGGGGTCTTTTTATCTGAAGTAAATATTTGACGAAAAGGCATAACAATAACCAAATATCTGAAAGTGCTTTTTTCAGAGAAAATTAGATCAACTTCCTTGTAAACAAACGTATATGCTATAAGCAAATTGAAAAAAGTGCAGAACCTGAAAATTGCTAATTACAAATTTGCAGTTTCGAATTTTCGTGTGTTATATAAAAATATAAGCAAAATCGGTAACAAACTACTATTCATTGATAAAAAGTAGATTTATTGAATAATAAATAAGTTTAACCCGCCATTGCGAATGGTGATTTTTGTTACACCATTACTTAGATCTTAGATATAACCGTTAATATTGTATTTATTATTATTATTGTTATTATTATTATTATTATTCAAATTCGTGTATTAGTATTGCGACCAAATAACAAAAAAAGATCGGAAATGATTTATATTTCTAAGAATAATACTCGAAAACCTTAGTTTGATATTCAACTAGTAGATCCGGCAATGCTTCGCTATTGCAATGTATTACATTTTACACACTACTGGTCACGTGATTATTATTCACGATTTACACTGCGCTTTGAAAAATAATAAATGAAATTCTCTCTCGCGAGTATGGGGTTGTTGTATGTCCTGGTTTGGATACGGTTGGTTTGGTTTAACAATAGGATTATTGTTAAAACTTTCTCCTTCACGTTTGGCCATGCAATCGCTATGAAACTGTCTTGGAGAAATTTGATTTACTTGTCCGAGATAACGTTCAAGAAATAATTGCGGTCGATATTTCACAATCGCATGGGCGGAATATGCAGCGAACTTGGGGATACGGCGGGTTGTATAGAGTTTCTGTTCAGGAGCGTTTTGAGTCAGCATAAACGCATAAAATAGACGCCCCCAGTTTTACATTCCGCGATAAAACATGCACTACACGTACGGAACTAATGAGCTTAACCCTTTGACGCTCTCGGAATCGCTAATCAATCAGTAGACTACTTAACTCCGATCTGTAAGAACACAGTAGCTAATCAGTGGCGCCACGTTCGGGCCCACAACGCTCGCAATGCGTGCTGGCCCAGTTAAAAGAAAATTCGCCGTTTTTTTCTCGCAGCATTACATAGCTTTCTCTTCTTCATAAAAAGTTTCTTGTTATCGCGGGAAAGTAAAAAAAACGGCGTTTAGATAACGGCGTATCGTGACAAAATCAAACTGATATATTTAGTGAGATCTGAATACTGCACTTCCTTCGTTACATAACGTGTTAATAATATAATTTAAATTTATCTGCTCTGTGCATACCTCTTTTTCTCTCATTAATTTTTTAATGAAATATTTGGTAATAGAAATGCATGTTATCTAGACTCGGGGGAAATACATATTGTGACTCGATAGAGCCTACCCTACGTGAATTCAGAATGTGAACTTCTTGTCAAGGATAATTCTGAATCATCTCCCGAAATAACATCGCAGCATTTTTCAGTGTAAGTTTTACTTATTGAACTTCGTTTCGTACAAATTCTACTCGGAAGCTTCCTTGCTCTCGATGTTATTACAATTCTCAATTATTACTATTGATCATACCTTCCTCTGCTCCACTCTAATCTCAAAACAATAAGCCGTTTTATATAAAATTTATTTTCGTTCACAGTTGTAACATATTACAATCATTCATTCCTCACCTGTATTCATTTCTCACCATAGCTATATTTTCTATTCATTTATATTATTTCTATTACTTTTACTCTAGGTCAAATTTTATTGTACAAAACTTCGCCTACCTACAAATGTATAAGAATGCCTTTGCTCTTCCCTGGTTGTACTGTTCTGCTCTCTTCACAGACGAAAAATATGGCTACTCCAGCACTACAGTTTCGTCTCGTTAGCAAACCACCCTTAACCGCTAACTTGTCTCCTTGGTCCATGTTCGAATTTACGAAAATCGTACTAATTTTTATATTTGGTCAAAACTTTTAATTTATTTTGCCACTATTTAACTATAAAGTTAGAACTTAAGTCAACATTATTTTTCAAAACTTCAATTATAATTTTTCGACTATGTGAATCGGCGTTCTAACGTAACTGTTCGTCACGAACACACATAAAATGATCCTCTGTCAACACCAATACGTTGCATTCTACTCTTTACATTTGTGCATAGAAAATTTTCATGTTTTTTCTTATTCCTTCTTTCTGCGCAGCTATATTCATTCGTTCTCTCTTCTTTTGTATTTCTAGGATCATTTTATTCAACGTCACTAAATACATTGTTTCTGCCTGTTACCTCTTTCATGCTGCACTTATACTTTTCCTTACGCGGAAATTACTCAATGTGTCCCAATTTTGCTAAATTACCGTCTCATTATTTTATTACCTTCGTTATTGCAACTACATGTCTCTGTATTTATTTTATTGATAACAACTCATTTATCTGTCCCATCCGTTGCTCACTTGCGATTCTTTATTGCCATTTTTGTAATTAAGACTAAATATTTTACATGTTTTCGTCTTCCTTGAGATAGTCATAAATGACTCACCTCAGTAGTAAAACAAAGTCAGGAATATATTTTGAAATTACAGTCGCTATATTACTACTAGTCAATGTAGTAAAATCACTGCGTTTCTGCCCCAAATACATCTCCAATACAAGCTAATATTTATTGAATTTTTTAAAAATTTCTTTCAGCTTGATGGTGGCAGAATGTGAGAGAATCATTGAAAACGTTTTACCAAGAGCTGAAGCAGCACACCAACTCTTTCAAAGTAGGAAAGAATCTTTGATTACTAAATGTTCTGACACAAGTAAAATGATACAGGATATGAAAGAAGAAACAAATCGCCTATCAAGGTATTTAAATTTTAAATACATTATTTTATTTTGTATCCATATAAACCAATAGTATTTTAGAATAGAAAAGATTTGTCTTCCATTTACGTTCCTGTAAGTATTTTAAATCTTGCAACAAAAACTACCGTAAACTACCATATACAGCATTTCAGTATAATAATTATTATTGTTATTAATATTAACATTATTATTATAACAACAATACATAACAAAAATGTTCTGCGGTGACCGGTTGTTTTCTTTATCTTTTCTTAGAAAATGAATTAATTCAATCTGTACTGTACCTCGTTATAGACTGCTTAAACCCATCCTTCTACTTCCGACCGCCCTCGTCATGTCTTGTTTCGCTTAGCCCCGTCCTTTTTCGCTAATCCCTGCTTTGTTCGCTACGATCGCCGTTCAATCCACCATCGTTGCTGCGTCAGCTGTAAACCTATGGGTTGTTGCATATTCCCGGCAAACTTTTAGTAATCATTTTGATTTTTAATTTATCAAAAGAATAATTAGTATACTATTGAAATGAATCAAAAAACATTTTGTAGAACATCATATGGACTTTCAAAAACGATAAATTAATTTGATAGATTTCTTAATCGTTTCAGGTTTACTCTCAAAAACAAAAATAGTGTACACTTAAATTTTATTTAAATGGTAGGAAAGGGAAATAGGGTAGTTTTTACGAAATTTCATACATATAGTATTTTTTCTCATTGTTGAAGATCACATATACAACACATCTTTAAAATTGAACTAATTATTCCGTTTCTCGTGAACTGTGCCTTGGGTGTGAATAATATCAGGTCTTTGAAGAAGTCGGCTACAAAACTGCTTACGCTCTTCACTGTTCGCGACGGGAAAGCCGGTGTACAATTGCGGCGAGACCGGATTTTATTCATTTCATGTTCATTTTTACAAAAAGTATTAATATATTTGGAGTCAAATTTTGAATAGAGCAATGTTTTTGTCCTGAAATTACTCACTTACTTTTGCCTGCTTCAGTAACTCGGTGGTTATAGCGTCCATCAGCTAAAACGTTAAGAAGATTAGATGTTCGAATTCCGTTCCCAGATAAACATTTTCGTTTCTTTTTACTTTCTCGCTACAGAGTAGAATGAAAGTTATGTAATGCTGTGTGAAAAAACCCCAGCGATTTTTCTACTCAAAAACTCTTATTACAAGGTCCTGGTTACGAAAAAGTGGATACATCCAGTTGCTCAATTTAGAAACAAAAATTCTCTGATACGTGGTGTAGCTAGGATCTATGTTTTGTGGGTCCTTGACACCACAAAATCGAATGACTGCAAAACGTCTGTCCGTTTGTGACAGCGGCTTAACCGTTCAGCCTACTTTTTCCAAATTTGATATTCCGTAATCAATCTCACTGATGTTGCGGCTCTTTAAATTTGTAACCGATATTTTAATTTAGGGGGGTACTTTACATGAAGCCTGTGGAAGTTTCATATTTTTTTAAAAGGCTTGACGTTTTCGATTTAAATTTTTGTTGGATAGTGTAAAGGACGTTTAAGAAAATGGCGTATGTCTAATGTTTGTTGAAAACTGATTTTTCGAAAATTGCCAAAAAGTCATAATTTTTTCGGAGTTTTCCTACAACTAAAATATTAAAGGTAGAGATTTTTTCTCTTAATGAAACTTGTTTGTTAAAGATAGATTTTGCAATTGGCATGTACTTTTCGAAACTTTGAGTACTTTTCGCGTAATTTTGCATCAAAATATAGACAATATGGAACGTGCTGTCTTAGCACTACTGGTATTTTCTCTCATTGTTTAGGTAAGGAGTTACTGTTTTATCGGTGGATTTGATTATTCGAGGCTGTTTTAGCACCACTAGTTTTCTCGTGTTGTGAACGGAGGGCCAGAGAGACGTTTTGCCGAAAATCCAATTTCGGTATCAAGGACCCACAAAACCTGGATTCTGACTACCTAACGTATTAGAGGAAGTCATTAATTACATACAGTTGCAAGAATTATCCACTTTCTTGGTGCCAGGAACTCACAATATGAGTTTTCTTTTCGCTTCAGCTCTGAAGTCGTTTCTCTTGACTATGTAAGTACGTAGTAGGTAAGAAAGTAAAATTGAAGATACGAGATAAATGTGTATAAATTTGCATTGGTAATGGCAATGCAGGATTCACACGCTTAATAATGGATGATTAAGTAGTAAGCTTTACTGAAAATTGTGTAGGAATACTGTTTATTTTGAAACTTGCTTTATGTGATCGAATTTTTTATTCATTTTTCGTTGTAGAAGAGCATTTCATACTACTTTGAACACATTTAAGATATCTCCTCCTTCAAAATGGAATAAACAATGAGTTTAAGATATTTAATATAAACGTGTGTGTGTGAACTAGCATTCTCGGACATGGAAGTACCAGCACATTGATATCGTCCCCGAGAATAAATCAGAACTGGGTGCCCTATTTGTCCGACTCTTCATTACGTATTCATTTGTAGGAAGTTTTCATAGCTTCGGGGTAATTTTAAATTGAAATGTTGAGCTTTGTAAATCTCACAAATCGTCAAAAAATGCTGTCCACGATACTCTGCTTGTTGTGTTTTTGTAGATAAGTGCGTGTAAGTACGCTTGTGAATAGCGTCGAAACATAGTAATGTGCATGTTTAAGTTTGTTTCCCGCTACCAAGGCAACATGTTTAGTTCTGAAAACCGAGGAAGCAAAGTGCGCTTACAGATATAATTAGAGTTCGATTTTCACTAGAACCTTTGAAATTCAGAAAGTTGCAAACTTTAGAAAATAGCAACGTTGAATATCCCGCGCTGCTTTTTCTGAAGAGAGATCTGTGATAGATTCACGTTTGCAATATTTTAGTATTACTTATGCGTACAGATAAATGAAAAATTATGTCCTATTGTAGTACCTAATTCAATTTTGTATCCAATTAATTTATCACAAAAAATATTCTATACTACTCTTTGAATTACTGGTGTTCAATTCAATTGTCAGAAATATTTGTGGCAAGACATTTCTTACATAAATGCTAGGAACACAATATACAGTTACTTACCTATGTCATGGTATTAAAATTAGACTCATTTTCATTGCCCATTAAGGAATAGCTTTAGTATAGTTGCAAACAATTTTGCAGTGAAATGGAACCTCTACGCGCTCGTAATATGGAAAAGGATGATGTTATCTCACGTCTGAAAGACAGTATCAAAACTGCTGAGAAAGAGGCCAAAATGTATCGTAGCAAATACGACCAATTAAAAGTACAAATTGAAGCTCAGCTTGAAGGGTAAGAGGTTTTTAAATGCGTGAAATGTATAGTATATAAATTTAAAGATTACTGTTTATGAATATGAGAACTGTGCTGATATGTTTGTGTGAGAGATTGACTAATTTATATGTTTGTGGGAGAGACAGCAAAAAAATAAGTGTCAAAGAATCTATGTCCGCAAGAGAAAGAAGGAGAGAAAGAGAGAGAGAAAGAGAGAGAGAAAGAGAGAGAAAGAGAGAGAGAGAATGAGAGAGAGAGAATGAGAGAGAGAGAAAGAGAGAGAGAGAATGAGAGAGAGAGAAAGAGAGAGAGGGAGGTGACGTTCTTGAGAGTGTGTGTGTGTGTCTGAAAGAGTTGATGTGGATTCCACCTATTTTCGCCCCGAGGAATTCGACTTCTGGTCAAGTCATTTATTAATGCAACGGGCGAGTCATTTTCTAATGCAGTCGCGGTTGTAATACAGAATCAAAACATGTCAATTTCTCGCCGATTTGTCAGAATATACTTGCCCGTTCACAATAATTATAATTTAGTTGAACGCTTATCTGTCCTATATTACCTATAGCGTTTTTGGTAGGAGGGACACGCGATACACCTAATAGCATATTTTATCTATTTGTCTTTCTCTTCGCAAAGCAAGCAATTCGTATATGTTGTTAGTGTTTTTCAAAAGTGATCATCATTGCGACTCCTGCAAACACTGAGTGGGCAAACGCGCTCTTGCATGCTCGACTTGAACTAAATCCAAACACTTAAAGCATCTGAGAAGGGTATTCTCGTCATATATTAGCAACAAGACCATCCTTCTCTAATGTTGCCTGCAGCCACCAGGATGTTACCCACTGCAGCAGAATGACTACTGCTATGTTCCCCCATAAGCTGGTCTCAGACTCTCACTACAGCTGCCAGTAGATCCTTCGTGCCCGAGAATTGGTCAAAGACTTATGGAGAAAGAGAGGATGTTGTATGAATTTGCGTGTGTGGGAAATTGTGTGTTTGTGTGTACGAGAGAGTATTTATGTTTGTTAATACACGAGAAAGAATGTGTTTGTGTGAGAATGTATTCATATGTATTTGTGTATATGTGTGCGTGAGATAGTGAGTTTCAATGTGTTTGGGTGTGAGGCAGTGAATATGTGGGTGTGAGAGCGTTTATACATGTATATGTGTGTGTGTGTGTGTGTGAAAGAGAGAGAGAGAGAGAAACAGAGACAGAGACAGAAAGTAAATATATGAGTGAATGTGGATTAATATAGATGTCTTGATGATGTCGTCTTGGGGAAGGTCTCCCTACATTATTATTATTATTATTATTATTATTATTATTATTATTATTATGATTATGATTATGATTATGATTATGATTATGATTATGATTATGATTATGATTACTATTATTGGTGTTGAAACGTTTGATGTTGATGTACCAATAGAGCAAATCAAGAATTCAAGAGGTTTCAAGAACAGAAAGTTGAAGAAGTGAATGCGCGAACCGAAGAAATTACGAAGGTGCGCGAAGATCTCGAAGAGCTGGCTACTCTGCGAGTGCGGTGGCAAGCTCAACGCGATCTGCTGGCGGCCAAAGCCGACGAGATGTGTAGAAATTATACAATCACCCTCCAGCGATTCTAGTAGACGTCTATCAGGTAAAGCGTTTACGAAATTCCTCCAGAACCGTAGCCGAACTCAAGATGAGATATACTTGTATGCAAACTGCATCCAGATGAAACGTTTTTTTTTAACCCGACTACGCGCATGACGGAGAGATTTGTATCTGTCAGCATGAGTCTTTCTGAGTTTTCTTCCCGTAATCTTTCAGAAAATTAGCGGATTTTGATATTAGAAATGCCCAATTGCCTAATGTCAGTAGTATAAATTCAGCTATACTTAAAAAAACGATACGGCGGTCACAAATACGTCCAAGTCCAACGCGAACTGATGTGTAAAATACATTCTGAGATGATTTCTCTTTTCCATTACCTACAAAATTTGTTTTCCTTATACAATTCAATCAATTAGGGACTCAAGTAAGGAAAACTCTTCGACATTGAATGTGCAAAAAGTGGCTTTTACGTAAAAACTGCATTCTTTAAGCTTTTTCACAAATGCATGACCGCATGCTTTAAGAAAATATTTCGTAAGAAATTCTAGCTTCGCAACCGTGGAGGCATTCTTGAAAAACCTCGATAAGAACAGAGGGACGCTTTGACTAGTCCTTAGTACTTTTAAACCTAAGGTAGCTTTTTAACTACTAGGTCATATAGCAGATACTGTGATAGTTTATATTGGGGGTTAACTATAGGGAGAACACGTAAAGACAAGAACACACACAAACATCCATGTCCGAGGCGGGATTCGCACCCGTTGACCCGTCAAGCAGAGGTAGCTAAGGCCCTTCAGCCTTAGCGCCCTCGGCTCTACTGGCCGGCTTAAACGTAGTATCGATATGATTGGCGCTAAATCTCAAGAACACCGAAACCAGCTGTTGCACGGTGAATGTGAATATAATCTTTATTGGATTTTTTGTATTTTGTCTCCGGTCAAGTAAACTACAGGCCGAAATCATTAGCTAGCAAGGAAATTGATTTTAAACATATGCAGCGTAGTGTTACTAATTACATTTTTTGTCAAGAATAAGTTAGGCATGCTACAAAACTGTTCTATTCATAAATTATTTGTGGTTGGTTTATAATTGTATTCTTGACTACCTTATGCAACATATATTTGGTTATATCTTTCTGAAAAACGAGAACCTCTGTGCAATTTTAGCTGAACTGCAAAGGAAAAAAAACTACCACCGCGCGCGTGCTCGGTTTGATTGACAACTGTGTCTCTGCCACAAACATGAGCTGCAGCCAGACAGTTGGCTTGCAACATCCTCTCCATGTTAGTACAAGAGACGTGGTGTGCGTGGCGTCCATTATCGGAAAAAGTTGATGCTGTCTGGTGGGATAACTAGAAGACGAGATCTCGTCTCGTTCGACTCGATCGTCTTCTTCAAGAAAGATTGGTATCCCTTGCTGGAAAAGTATTAGTTCCTTCTTGCCAGGAATACAACGAATCCATATTAGGAGTTTGTTATAATATTCGCACCCTAAGATGTTCAAACCAATATACGAAAGAAACTGGACAAGAAAACTTTCTCGAAAGCAATTTTAGGATTCATTCAGTCTGTTACGCGAGCTCTTCGTTTCACTCATCAATTCTTCAAGCACATCTCCCACAAGTTTTAATTTACCCTCAGTAAAAAAACACCGAATTGTAGGCTATTCTGTTCTTTGAGCACGATTGCAAGAGAGGACGCCACTCGCATGACATCAGAGGCGTTCAATAATTCCCGCTGCTCTCTCACCTCCCTGCCAACTCTCCAACTCATCGGCGATTCGCTGTCCACGCCTTCCTCAATATTGTCACGCAGATCTGACAGAAAGCTTACAAATATATTTATCTGTTATAATAATCAGACTATGAAAATGCTATAACAGAATATATAAAAATGTTCGTGTCTCTTATGATATTCAGACGAAAAAAGTACAAAGAGAAAAATGCATATCTAAAGAAATAATTTTAAGCAATCTACACACCAGGAAATAATTTTTATTTTACTTTTAATTGTAGGCATCCAACTACCAACTATCAAATTTGGTGTACGGGAAGATATGACTCTAAAGGGTTCTGTGATTAACTACTGGTGCTACAGAATGGCGTAGACTTTATCGTAATAGTTTTCTTTCTTCTAGTCAGTTTACTAATTTCCTTTGTGTGGGCTAGCCTTACGGCCTTGCTCCATCGTCTTTGCCACCTGCCATCTATCGCCCCACAAAGTACACTTTTGGAAGTATTCTCTATTTTTCGGTTTCCTACTGGTAAATTCGAAATATTACTTTTAACATATCAAAAAAGAATAAAACCTCGTCCTATGTGTAAATTTTCGTTAAAAAACTTAGATAAGTTTTTAAGAAGATTGCGTAAATGTGAAATTTGAAGCTCTCTTTCTCAGAACATTTCTGAGTTTTCGAATACTTCTATCAGGAGTCATTTGAAGTAACTCACAAATTCAATAGTGTTTACATATTACACGAAATATGCATGTTTAAAAAGAATAACATTTGTGTAATTCTTTAAAATACCAAAGAATACACCAAAATTAATTTTATGCCGTATTAAACAATGCAATTGGCACCATCCGTTGGAAAAGTTTTAAGAAAACATTTGGAACCGTTTTTGAGAAAATGGCGTTCGAAAGGTTTTCGAAAAATTGGGTATTTCAACGAAAATGAGGCCTGGACCATTATCTTAAACGTCCTTCGCACTATTCAACAAAGAAATTAAATCAAAACATTTGGAGCCAATTTTTTTGAAATGTCTGAGGGGCTTCATGTAAAGAACCTCCCGAAATTAAAATATCGGTTTCGAATTCCAGAGACCGCGACATCAGCCAGAACGATTAAGGAATATCAATTTTAAGAAAATCGACTGAACGAGTTATGTACTTGCGATGTGCACCGAAGGACGGACGGAAGACAGACAGACGTTTAGCCGTCAATCCATTTCGCAATGTGAAGAACGCACAAATCATGAAGTCTGGCTACACAACGTGTTAGAGGAATTTGTTTACTATATTTAGCAACTGTATTTATCCACTTTTTCGTTTCCAGAGCTCGGCAATAAGGGTTTTTGTGTCAAAAATTCGCCTTTTTCGGCGCACGAGTATAATACTTTCTCTTCTTACTTAGTAAGCACGAGAAAGTAAAAACGTAAAACATTTTAAGTATTTAAGAGTTATTTTGACTGAAGAGAGCACGGATCAAGCTGATATTTTATTGAAAATCAGAAAGGGTGGACCGATAATAAATTAAACTCACTACTTTGGAGTAATGGAATTAAAAGAACTAAAACAAAAATACAGCTGTTTATGTCTTCGGTAGAGAGTACACCAACATTGATTACTCTTTACCAGACTACGATTTAGATTGTTGCGGTGAAAAGTCCACGTTGTTGATCAGTGCGTCAATATTAGATAACTTTTTCTTTTAAGAAGGATTTTTTTTCAATACGAAACATCCTAAGATGCTGTACATAATTACTGACACTCTGCATTACTGTTGGGGGTAAAGGCGACATGTGGAGGCATGACGTATTTTCATCACCGTACCTAACGTATTTGGCCTTCCTGAGATATCTTTCATCACACAGCAATAGAGACTGCTACGAATTTTATTAGAAAACTAAATCTTCATTTTTGCCCCGACCAATAATCGAACCCGGGACCGCCTCACAAAAAAACTGCTAGCAAGTTGACCATAGCCAGGGGCTGCTAAAACCTGTATTTTTTTTAAAAAAAAGTCTACAACAATGTTGTGGCCAAGGATTTTAAGCTAAAGTATGTGAGGTGCTTACTTAAAGTTGAAAAATAAAACATTTATCCAGAATTCAATAAAACCTATGTAATTTGAATTAAATTTTGTGAGAACTGAAAAATTATCACTTATCCTTTTTGATGCCATAATTCTAGTTTACGAATATGCTTTGTTTTTTCTTGTAACAAGTTGTTTTCAGCGAGATGTTTTAGGGGGAGTATGCCTCTTTTGGCATTTCTGGTATTTTCGGTAACGGTTACCTAATACATAACGTTGCTTCTTCCATCATACTAACACTTCAGGCATCGCTTGCAAAACTCAAATGATATAACAAAACATTATGCAAAGCAAACTAATGTTATGAAAAATAATATAATTGGGTCTTTATATAATTCAAAGATCTAATATTTATGAATAGATTACGAAGAAAATATTTTGCTTCAATATTGAAGTTGATAGACTGGTGTGAAGAAAAACTTTTTTATTGAATAAGCATTGAATATTTAGTATGGTTTAACAACATACAAAATAATACTTTCCCCAGTCGTGAAACGCAGAGAGAGTAGAAAGAAAACTAATGTTTAGAGAAATGTTGGAAAATACAAAAATTATGTATTTGCATTTTAAAGAATGAAAAAGAAAGAAATGAAGGAGAGTAATTAATTTTAATTACTTTAATAAATAGTTTAATTAATAGTAAACTGAGGAAATGACCTTTAATGCAAGTTATTGGTTTTTGCTTCAAATAATTATTCAAGTTCCACTGATATTTATTTCATTTTTAATTCTCAATAAGGTACACATTTTCTTATAAGTGTGCAAGATTTCATTTCGTCTGGATTTGCTTTACAATGAATAGTAGCAAATGTAAGTTTAGTTTTTGTTAGGAATATACTTCAGAAAACCAAAGGCATCGTGCCGTTATGTTATCTGTACTTGGAGCTTGATTCGCCGATAAGTCAGCCACCGTATTGAATTGCATAAGAATGACTTCATACGTAACAATTGTCCCTGCAACCTGTGAAAAGAAATCATGTTTGTTCTCATTGCACTCATTGCAATTTTAAAAAAGTAATATTTGAATATATTAAACACTTACTGCCATTACAAATTCTCGTGTTACTGAGAAAAAATTCATTCCTGTGAGAGCTACTTGATCTGTTGTCAGTTGAAGAAGGAACCTCTGCACCTAATAAAATTCGAAATTCGATTATAGAAATAGTTTTTACATTTGAAATTAATTTTCATTTCATTGAAACTTACCTCAGGGCAATAACTTTGAGTTGGCACAGCATAAAGGTAAACTTTTGGTTGTAAACTCCGATCATGAACATTGGCAGTGCTCAGTGAAACTGCACACGTTTTTAGGATGATATAGAATATCGACCAATAGAAATACAGAGCCTCACTGAAGTTTCCAAGTGGCCTTTTTTAAGAAAATAAGAAAAAAAGTTTGTATTGCATGTCACAGTTGTTTTGGTTGATTATCAAGTAACTATTGAGACAGCATTGATAGATTTTGAAATACCAAAATTTTAATTATGATGTTTCAAACTCTGTTAATTCTGAAACCTTGCTGATACAAATCTATTACAAAATTTGAATATATATGTCGCCATTTTATATTACAAATATTCATTTTTACTAAAGATAATCTGTTTTCACCTTAAGTTGAAACCTTAGAGGAATATGGTTCGGTGTTATTAATTTTTACTTTCTCGTATACGTACTTATACAGAATATTTCAAAAATAGAGGGCATAATTTCAGGTATGTATTCTTCACTTGTAGACAAACAAAATAGTTAGGCAATAATTCATTTACGAGTTATGGCCTTCACAACACTGAAAATAGCATCTGCCCGATTTTCAATGTTAACACTAAATTTTAAAAAATTGCAAAAGTTTGAATGTTTTCGGCGACTTCCTACAACTACAAAATTAAAGATCGAGGTTTTTCCCTCAAATAAAATTTGTTGGGCCTATTTAGTACTTTTTATTAAAATCATGTTCATTTTTTTGAACTTTTAGATGTTTTCGCACAATATTGCATGCAACATGTCTCATTTTTAAAAATAACCAAAACAAGATTTTGTCAAAAACGGCTGCAACATTTTTCTGAATACTTTTGGTAGGGATAGTGCTAAGTGCAGTTTACGAGATGACTTAAATGGTTTTTCGCTCTATTCTTTTGTTTTTTCAAAAATTACAAAAATGTAATTTTTGACTAGCTTCTGACGCCGTTAGCATTGACATTAACAGCAATTTGTTTACATTATTGAATTTACGAGTACGTGTGCTTTAAATTATGTCTTATAAAGTTACTCCAGATTTCATTTTTTTTTCTATGAAAAAGAGCTCAAAAATTGCGAATTTTCAAAAGCGCTCAAACGCCATTTTCTCAAAAACTACTTCAAATGTTTTCTTCACACTTTTCGTGCGGATAGTGCTAAATGCACTGTTTGAAAATACATAAAATTCATTTTGTTGTATTCTTTTGCTGTTGTTTTTTTCAAACATTACACATTGTATTTTTTTTAAAAATAGATCTCACGCTATTTATATGCTCATTGCCAGCGATTTGTATACATTATTGTATTTGTGAGTAAAAGAGCTTCAAATGTCTTTGAATGAAGTTTTTCGAAAACGTAAATGTTTTCTGCGAAACAAAAAACCTTCAAATTTTGCATTTACAGTAAAGCGTACACGCTACTTTCTAAAAAAAAGGCTCCAAAGCTTCAACGACTTTTTCCTACAAGGCATTTTATCCTATTCTTACAGTAATATGTTAGTTCTGCTATTAGGAAACCGAAAAATTGCGAAAATATCAACAACAAAAATGTACTTTAGGTGCTGATAGATGGACGCTGGCGAGAGTTATGCGGCAAGTCCGAAGAGATTACCCTGACCAAAAGAAATTAGAAAACTAAGTAGTATGAGTAAGTCTCTGACATTCTGTAGGCCAATAGTTGTGTTATGCTATCATTTTTCGTTTTTAGAAGTATATCATATAAAGCCTCTGGGGCGTTTTCAGAATTTTCTCGAAATTGGCTCAAAAGTATTTTTTACATTTGAGTGAAAGTGAGTAGAGTGAAACATACTTGTAAAGATGAAATTGGTCCAATTATCATAATTTCCAATAAGTATCCGAAAAAAATAAAACAATATTGTACAAGCACCGCAAATGGGCCAAAGAATACTATGAGCAAATATGTAAAGAAGCAAGACACAAGAGAGGTCCCTGCGATGTTCCGGGAGAGAGAAAGTGCTCTCCACTAGGACCCCAGAGGAGCTGTAGGAATCGCAAGAAGCCCTGGTAGGTTTTTTTAAACTCAGATAGAGAGCTGGGAATAATATAGGGCCAAAACAAAATATCTAGTCCAGACTTGCGAAAATAGCGACAAATTCTTGTGCAAGAAACTCTGTGCCGTTCTGTAACACCACTAGTTTTAACATACGTGTACACGGAGTAATATACCTACCCTAGAGAAAGTTACGTAATGCTGCAAAATGTCGATTTCGATGGTTCAATGGAAATACACTTTTCGGGGTCCCCTGATACCGAAAAAGTGATAAATTTTATTTACACACCCGCCTGCCATCTGTGAACGACACTAGCGCCTAAACTATGCGTAGGATTTTTTCCAAAATGAATGTTCACTGGTCGATCTGACCCCACTGGAAGTTCTGCGATTTTGAAAAACATTCTTTAAATTTTGTGGGTACTTTACATGAAGTCCCTGGGACATTTTCAAAATTTTCTTAAAAATGGCAATTTCTTTAAACTTCTAGAGAATCTAAGAATAGAGTGAAACACACTCATAAAGGTGGCAAAAGTGGGATTTTCAATATTAAAGTTAAAATTTCGGAAATTACAAAAGTTTGATTTTTTCAGTATCGTCCTACTACTATAGTATAGAAAATACAGATTATTTTTTTGTCTGTGATTAGTCCTTAAAAGGGTGTTATTAGTTCTTACGAGGGTGCTAAATGGCCCCACTATTATCAAAGATTTATCTTGAAGAGGCCCTAGTGCAATGGAAACTTAAATGCAGTGGAATGAGTATTCCAATTGAAAATGAAACCTTGTGTACCCAGCTATTTACGGATGACCAACTTGTTGTAGCTGCTGACGAAGAAGACTCCAGCTACATTTTCAGACATCAAGAAGAATACCAAAAATGGGGAATGGAAATCAATACTAATGAAACAGAATATCTGGTAACAGGCGAGGGAAATGTAGATGACTTAGATTTTGGAACAGTGAAAGTGCGCCATTGCAGATATTTTACATATCTGGGAGTGTCACTAACTGAGTCTGGTAAAAACAATGACATAGTAAATAAAATAAGCCAAGGAAAGAGATAAATATTGCATTTAAATTGTGTGCTATGGAATGACAAAATTACAAAGAAAACAAAAAGAACAATATATAAAAGCCTCCTTGAGAGTATATGTACATATGACTTTGAAACATGGGAGCTATATAAGAGACAAAGAAAGACTGTTAGCTCTTGAAATGAATTTTGGAGGAGGAGTTATAGCATTCCGAGACGAATATGTTTGCCACGAGAGCATTCATTAACATAATGGAGGTTGAAAATAACATCACAGACACAACTTAAATGAAACAATTAATATGATATGGTCACCATCAAAGGATGGAAGATACCAGGTGGTCAAAAGACTTTGAAAAGGGAGCCTTCCAGAACGCAGAAAACTGGAAAGGCCACCAAGATCTTGGCAAGATGGACTAAACAAAGCTGTGAAAGCTATTGGTCTGCAGGACAAGGTTTGGGTCAACCGCAAGTTCTGGTTCCTTTATGCTTCCAATTCTACATTAGAGAGACAAATAATTTGGGGCAACTTCAGAATAAAGAGCAATATTTAATGAAATTTTAAAATCTCTCTCTCTTAGCATTTGCTTCAGAAAAATAATTTATGGGGCAAAGGATATAGCTAAATAAGGTGGTGAAAAGTGCTCCCAAACTAAATCGATAATTGTGACACTTGTATGGAAGAGAATTAAAAATGCCATAGATTCCCAAAAAATCAGCCTCCTAGGGCAATCTGTTGCAGAGATACAATGAGAAACATGTTTTTCATGTTTTATTTTTTCTCAGCTTCTATTGCATGTATCAGGCTCAAAGAAATTACAGACATGGGAAAAAATAGTTGAATTTGAAAGTATTTTTGTCAACCAATGTTGATGGCATATTTAACTTTTGAAAAATTTAAAATTGAATTTCAACGTGATAACATTGGAGTACTGTCTCAGTTTTATACCCTAGAATGTGTCTATAACACTCTTATATATTTTTTTTCAGATTGTTAAACAATATGGACAGTAGTGAAAAAAATTAAACCCCATTTTATCAGTTTTAAAATTTGAAATTCACACCAAAATGTAGCAAATTACTTTTAACATGTTCTTTATTCAGAACCCATATTTGTCAGTCCTTGATACTGAAAAATCAGTTGACAACAAAACGACAGTCTTGACTTGTATTACCATAACCAGCATTTTCACCAAAATTCATGTTCCTCAATCTATCTTACCAAAGTGTCGGCTCTTTCCATTTGAAACCAATGTTTTAATTTTGGGATATTTTTTTACGTGAAGCCTCAAGGAGATTTTCACAATTTTCTCAAAAAATGTCCCCAAATTTATTTATTAAACTTTGTCCTCAGATGGCGTAAAATATGCTCAAAAAATAGTTTTGTTGAAATATCTAGATTTTCTATATATCCTAATGCAATAGTGAATGATTAACTAGTGACAAAAACAAGTGCTATAAGGTTTATGGAGTCCCAGCATTCAATTTACGAATTTATTCAAATGATAAGATGTATATATGAGAGTGAATGAACATGGATAGTAGTATCACAAGAAAAATGAGTTATTTTCTTTCCATTCAAAAAATAAAAAACAAGTTTGTTGTAAAAAAAATGTAAGTCATGAAAAATTGTTGTAATTGAAAACAAATTGAAGTACAGATCTTGTAATATTTTCAAGTTTTCTATTAAATGTATAACGATCATAACGGAGTTTGAATTTTTCAGTGGTTTATGATGCAGTCAACGAATAAACCTTATTATTAAAAGATAATAATGTTGCAAGATATCAAGATGTCTATATTAAATCAGTGGGCATGAAAAAATTGACTTTCAGTCTATTGATGAACACGAATGGTATGATATGTATGATCAAATTGTCTTGCTAGTAAATAACAATGTTCAGCTCATTAATCTTTCCTTTACTTTTTTGTTATAACTATTTAATTTAGGCCAAAACTATTATTTTTCATCATCAATATTTCTTTGTTCTTGCTGTGCTTGTTGCCATGCAAACACTGAAATCATGTTCTACTTGCTCACAGAAAATAGCGTACTTTCTAAACAAATTTATACTTCTTTACTTCTGAATGTTACATAGTTTAAATGAAACTATAGACTAATCTGCATCACACTGACTGTATAAAATATGCCCATGATTAAGTAACCTTTGTTCTTTGTACATGAGGGATGTATTCAGTGTGGTGGGTTGGAATAAGCATTTCCAATAATGTAAGATGTAGGAACTATAAATTCTAATGAGTGAAACAAAAATAATTTATAATACTATTAATATAAATTTATAATTTGAGTATATAAGACAATTCAACTTTTCATGTCGGCAATTTCTTAATTTGAGCATGTCTGTTATGATATAATCATACCTCATACTGTTCAGCATTTGATAGCAGACAAAATACAAATTGGAAGCAAACGAGAGTAAAATTATTTTGTTTACACATGAATCAACTCTTCTTACTAATACTGCTAGTAAATTATAGTCTTCTCTGAGAGTCTTCCATAATGAACTTGGTAATGCCTGGAAATAAATTTTTGTTTCTTTTTATTGTCACTTTAATTAACAAAACTGTACACTTCATGACACTTTCTTACAAAGTAAGTTTGCTTCTATTTGACATGTAGACTAAAAGAAAAAAATTAACTCATTGACTTCCAATATAGCAGTTTTTTACTGAAAAATGAAAGAGTTGATTCACAATGAAAAAGTGATACTATCTTTATAAAATTTGGTTATTTTCTAAGGACAAGAACAAACAAAAAACAAACAAAAAATTCAAATTGTGATTCGACTTAACAAAAATTCAGCCAAAATTGTTTATAGTTGACAAAGACATCAACCTTCAAAACATTTGAAAGAGTGATTATTGGAAACACTATTCTACTCATAAAAGATTAATGACTTTCCAAAGTAATAATGTTTGAATGTAACAAAGCAACAAATTCCAACGTAACAATGAAATAATTTTCTATAATCATAGTTGCATTTCAAATTTTCATTTCATTTCATTTTGAAACATTGAATTTCATTAATCAAAAATTCTTTTTATATTTTCTCAGTGCAGTCATTTTAGAAATATTTTTTTATAATGACTTTGTTTATTTTTCCATATCAGAATCATTAGAATATACGTTTTAATTGTAATTTGAATGCTTCCAAATCAATAAACTCTACATTAGCAACAAGCTCACAGTCCATATGAATTAAGCAGAACTTCAAATTAAAAATGTGCAATATTTATTTCTTATAATGTAGATGCAGAATAAATCTTTGTGATATGGAATTTTATAAATTGTCATCCTCCCGAATCTTTTTCAGTTCCATAGCTGATACAACATACCTTTCCATTTATGTTCTTGAGCCTTTCATTCAGAGCAGCAAAGTGATCAGCAAGTGCATAGCTTATGAGAACAATAAACAAATCTGTGAAATTCCAACAAAATGTTTTGATAACACTCATTGCACACAGAAGGATGCCTTTCCAATGAGCATAGCCTGCCATATTCACCACATAATCATGGCTCTGTAAAAGGAAAGCATGAAATATGCTTGATGGACTGCAGCAAGCACAGTCAAATGCATTTTCCATATAACGTAAGTTAGAAAGAAGATGTTCCACTGAAAATATAAATACATATTTTTATAATAATTATCAGTAATTTTCTATCAATTAATTTTTTAAACCAGCTTTTATACATGAAGTTATGTTATTTATATCTGATATGTGTTGAGGAACTACTATATTTTTAAGAGAAAATACATTTTAAATTTGTTACTGCCTTCTTAGAAGCTTTTCAGAAGTCTTGATAATGGGTTAACTCTGTGACTGTTGTACTGGTTCTACTTCTTCCCACAGACCAAACAGAGTTATTTCAACCCTTAATAATTTAAACCATTGGTGAATTGTTTTCTCCATGATTATATATGTTGGAACATATACATTTTTGTCATCAAATAAACAATTTGTTTGGAATAAGAAAAAAATCGTAACCAAGAGAAACTATATCTAAATACAAAAAATGTAACATGTTCTAAATATTCATATTGAAATGAAATGCCTGTTATTCACATCCTCTTAGATTTATTTTGAGCAGCTGCAGAATTTGCTTATTGTTAAGAGAATATTGTACTTTTCTTACATTTTATTTAAATCAAGAATGTAACAAGAATAGAGATGCTTTTGTCAAACTAAGTTGCACATCACTCCCCCTTGTTTCAAGAATGTTAAAAATGACTATTTTTCTAATTCCTAGTTGTTTTTTCTTAAGAGAGTATATATTATTTACTGTTGCTTGAGAAAAATAGAATAAAGATATAAATTGAATTTTATCATATCAATTTTAAAACATGTCCCAAATATTATCTTACCCTTGTTCACTGATTAATGACAGAGTTATGTATCTTTGTTTCTTGTGGTTCACATGAAACTTACAATTTTTAAGCTACAGAATGGATTAAAATTAAAATCTAATCTGATCTAAAAACAAAAGTAAATCATACTGCATACTCACCCAGAGATAGTAAGAGCAGAGAACTGGCAAGGCATCGAAAAGGTATTTTCAGTCGTGTTGACCTGTACCTTGAACTCATTTTTACCTCAACTTTTCGCCACTCAGTCATTAAAGAAGGCCACTCAGCTGACAACTTCAGAAATAATACCAGTGATATCAAGGAAGTGAGTGAAAATACTGTGCATGCTGTTAAAATCGATTATTTTATCAGAAAGTATATAAATATTTTATCGGAAATATAATTGACTTAAAGAAAGAAAGAAAGAAAGAAAGAAAGAAAGAAAGAAAGAAAGAAAGAATTTTTAAATACTTCTAACTTCACAGTTCAAATTTACAAATTATTTTAATAAATTTGTTTCAATTGTTACATACCTGATGAAGCAAAAGTTAAGCCTGTATGAGTTAGATGAAGAAGACAGAAAAAAGTAGTTACTGATGCTCCTACTATTGTTAAACAGCTGTAAAAGGTTCTTGCACTCAGCCAAGAAAATCTTTAAGTAAAAGAAAAAGCATATTAAAGTACAGATTGTATTATTTTTTTCTAAATTTAATTTAGGATTTACACATGAGAATTACAATTTTATTGTAGCAGTCTTACTTACTTCAAATTTGTTACCCTTGAACTCGTTATGCCTTTAACAGGCAATAATGCAAAACACTGAGCTGTAATTAAAATTGGACAAATAGATTTATGAAATGAGTTTGACGATGTATCCAATGCAACACCATTTTTATGACTGTCACCTGTAAATAAAGAAGTATCACTGTAATTACAAGGTATATAAATAAAATAAAATAATGTAAATAAAACAAATGTATTTATGGCAATTATTGTATTATTGAAAAGTGCAATGTAAACCATGGGATTTAGAGTCCTGTCAAAATATCGTATTGAAATTGTATTTGTATTTTTCATGAAGAATCCTACAAACAACTTGGTATTTGATTTCCAAGTCATCTTCTTTTGTCCATTTTCCATTGTCATCTTCTTTTTCTTCTTCGTCTTCTTTTTCTTATTTTCCTTCTTTTCCTTCTTTATCTTCTCTTTCTTCCCTTTTTTCTCTTCTATTTCTTCTTTCTTCTCTTTTATTTCTTCTTTCTTCTTCTTCTTTTTCTTCTTTTTCTCCTTCTTCTTTTTTTCTTTTTCTTTTTCTTCTTCTGCTTTCTTTCTTCTCTTTTTCTCTTCTTCTTCTTCTTTTCTTCTTCTTCTTTTCTTCTTCTTCTTTTTCTTCTTCTTCTTTTTCTTCTTCTTCTTCTTTTTCTTCTTCTTCTTCTTTTTCTTCTTCTTCTTCTTTTTCTTCTTCTTCTTTTCTTTTTCTTCTTCTTCTTCTTTTCTTTTTCTTCTTCTTGTTCTTTTCTTTTTCTTCTTTTCTTTTTCTTCTTCTTTTTCTTCTTCTTCTTCTTCTTTTTCTTGTTCTTCTTCTTTTTCTTGTTCTTCTTTTTCTTCTTCTTTTTCTTCTTCTTCTTCTTCTTCTTCATCTTCTTCTTCTTCTTCTTCTTCTTCTTCTAATATTTATAATCATCTTGATTATAAATTTGACATTTGACAATAAATACAATTTAAACCAGAAGGGCATAAACTTCTTGTACTAGTTGATTTTCAACTTTTTTGGGTCCGGGTGATTTTGGCCTTGCCACATACTCTTGCCAGTTGATAGTCCTATCGCCGCTCAATGTACAATTTTTCAGTTTCCTAATATTCGGTTTCGGTAGAATCTACATATTACTTCAAGGACATTAACGAAGAGTAAAACCTCGTCCTTCTTGGAAATTTTCGCAGAAAACTTTGGATCCTTTTTTAAGAAAAAGTTGTTTACACAGTTGAAGGTCTTTTTTCACAGACATCTTTTGAGTTTTCGATAAACTTAATTCGAAGTCATTTGAAGCACTTTCCATTCACAAATGCAGTAATGTATACAAATCGCTGGAAAAGTGCCTATTAAAGACGTGAGAGATATTTTAAAAAAACAGTAAAATGTTTTTTACGTCATATATACAGTGCATTTGCACTATCCGCACAAAAGTTTGAATAAAAAACAATTTGGAGTCGTTTTTGAGAAAATGGCTTTTAAACATTTCTGAAAAAATACACACACACATATACATACATACATACATACATACGGACGTATACATACTCCATACACACATACGTTTACGAGAAAGTGAAAATTTGGAGCTATTTTTGAGAAAATTTTGAAAATGTCCCTGTGGATTCATGTAAAATATCGCCAAATTTTAAAGAATATTTTTCAAAATCGCAAAGCTTCGAGTGAGCCAGATCAACTGAGGAATATCCATTTTCGAAAAAATCGTAGGTATTGTTTATAGATGGACGTTCACAGATGGACAGACAGACGGTCGGACGTTTTGCCGTCAGTCGACTTTTTGCTATCAAGGTCCTGCAAATCGTGGATTCTGGCTATACCACGCATTAGACATTTTTCCTCCTAAATTTTAGCCTAGGATTTATCCACTTTTCGTTACGAAGGACAGGCAATATGTGTTTTTCTGCCAAACATTCACCGCTTTTTTAGGCAGCATTACATTTCTCTCTACTGCAGAAGCGGCAACGAGAAAGCAAAAAGAATGATTTTCTTCAACTCTGTGCACTGAAATGTTACACCGGACATCATTGAAAGTAAAGAAATAATTGTTAACTTTCTTTACTTTCTTCCAAAATTATATGCATCCATAATTAGTTTCACTTGCATAAGGCATTCATGGCAAAACATTCAGAAATTTATGACCCCAAGCACCAACTTGCCAGTAATATAGACACCACATTATCACCAACAAAACAAGAGACAGTGTCCTCAATGTTCAAAATATGAAATAAAAAATTGTTTACCTTTCTCAAGTGTATGAATAGTAGCAGCTCGAAAATGAGAGTTAGGCATTTTCTTCTGGACACTCATATCTATGTTTCTGGTAACTTCCATCCTGCTACTACATGCCAATGCTATACTCTTTTCTGTCCAAGAATACTCTTAGGAGATACTAAATCAATATTATCAACATCAGGAAGTGTCAATTAATTTTATTTGGCTTACTCTGGAAGGAGAATAAGAAAACAAGAGGAAATAAGCCTCATTAGCACTAAAGGAAGACATCCTGAACTTGAAACACGAAATTAAGATTCAGAAAGATAATTGGTTTACAACATGAAAAAAATAATAATGAAAAACAAACTTATCTGCGATCTAATTAGCGCGTAATTTTCTTTTTATTTCTAATGGCATATTTAAAGCAACTTTTAGTGACTTACCTGTGTTTTAGAAGATGTAGACTGGAGTGAACATAATAAGTAAATTCCATTTCTGATGAATGTAGTGAAGAGTAAGGAAGGCTTATTTTTCATTTGGCACACGTTCTGCAGAAGCAAGTGACTAATATTGTTATGTAAATTTGTACATTATTTTACAGGCACTGTAGGAGTTTGTGACATCTATACAATTGTATTGTTCATTAAGGCTTCATTTGAATATGCTTTCAATTATACATACGAGTACAATACAATCATTTTTAAATGTACCGTCTGGTTAAAGGTTATTAGATAAGTCAAACCGACAAACATACTCATGTAACGGGTAACGGACAGCATTTTATTGCATAATTTGATGAGCAACTTTGTCTTAAATACATTTTTGTTATTGAGTTATATAGATTTAACAGTAAATTAAAAGATCTGATTCTCCCTGCAGATTTCTGGTAGATTGATACAGAAACAATGACTAAAGGATGTGATTAAAATTTACAAATTTATGACGAAGTGTTATGATTGACTATATCTGTTGGATGGTAGTTTCTTTAGTTATAAGAGAATTAAGTATTAGTAGTAATTAGGGAATGTTTTGCTGATCCTATGAAGATCATGACAACTTTTTTTGTGCGGTTTTCTATGAGTATGAATTTAAAGTTGTCTCTTTACATTTACAAATTTTCAACGTTAACTACGTGGGTATTTTAATTCCCCGCCAGAATAAATCCGCAAAGATAACCTTTTTCTTTCTCGTGTGTTTAATATACGATAAAAAATACTGAACTAGGCGAAACATCGACATTGATATTTTAATGATTTTGATGTTTCCGGGCACGTTAACTGCTATCGCCATTAGCCTCTGTGGTGCAGAGAACGTTTTATCGCGGGAGGTGGCGGTGTTCCTTCACCGCTGGTTGGCGAGATCTGGCGCCGACATACACTTCAGCTTGTGAGAGATTTCCCTCACCAGGTATTTCCCCAGCAGGATACCGCCCCAACCGGGGCAAGATCTAAGCTCCCGGCTGTTTTCCCGACATGTGTGGTAGTTTAAGTGCAATTGTGTTTTAGAGATGTGGATAGGGCAAGCAAGAAGAAGGATAGATCGAGCACGGACCTTGGCTGGATTGTTAGACTACCGCTCCGACATTCGCCTAGTATTGATCGGAGACACCTCGAAAAAATTACCGATCAGAGCAGTCGGGCGCTAAAATTCTCCTCCAGGCAGCGCCTGAATTCGAGCTAGCAATTTAGCTAATGTAAATTCACAAACGTCGGGACTCAAACCGTAGGTCCTCCCGGACAGAGTAGCTCCAGAGACAGCGGTAATAGCTCAACTCAGACAGTCGAGATTTTAATGAATCTGCAAGTAAAATAAGAGTTTCGTACGGTATTTACAGAACGAGAAAATACGGGTATACGTACGGTACTTTCGTTATATTCATGAAACATGGAAACATAATTTTTGTTACATCGCATTTTGAATACTGTTAAACATAGTTCAACACCACGCGAATGCCAGATCAGTACCCTAACAGGCCAAGGACCGCGCGGGATCTTTCCTACCTCTTCCTTGTCCTTACTTCTCCTCTTACACACACACTAACACGCACGACACATGCCGAGAGCGGCTAGGAGCTTGGAGCTTGTCCCGGCTGGGGCGGTGCCCCGCTGGTGGGAGATACGTGGTTGAGGAAACCCCCGCTAGTCGGCAGTAGGTCGGTGCCGGATCTGGCTATACAGCGGGGAGAAGACCACCGCCACATGCACCACACTTACGGGACCAATGACCCTGTTAGATGACGCTCCCGGAATCACTAGCAATCAATCAATGAAGCTCCCGATGGGATGACAGTGTCATAGTTAACGATCTGACAACGCGCTTCATATTTTAACCGAAGTACAGCGGCCGCTCCGCCCTCAGCGCCACGGCGATGTGGAGGAGAGGGGCCGCTCCCCTAGTCCCTCCTGGCAGTGGAGGGGAGTGTCGCCTCCTCGGAAGCGCCTGCCGCCACGGGCCATTTCCTTTTGCGTTGACGCCAATATTAACGCCTGCTGACTCCCTGAAAAACTATCCCACCTCTGGCGGGAAAAGGGGGAAACATTCGTAGCGTGGTGTTGATTCGTTGATTGTTAGTGATTCACTGTTTATTTTCCTCGGACATGGCGCTGATCTTCCCCCGCGGGATGGCGAGATACGGCGCCGACCTATCGTCGGCTAGCGGGGTTTCCCTTAACCTATTATCTCCCACCATCGGTTCACCGCACCAGCCCGGACACGATCTAAGCTCCCGACCGGTCTTCCGGTATGTGTGGTACTGTAGTGCATTTTAGTGTAAGTGTTTGTAAGGGGGAGGATAGAACAAGAAAGAGAAAGAAAAAAATCGCGCGCGATACCGTTTGTTAGGGTCCTGCTCTGGCATTCGCCTGGTATTGATCGGAAAAACTACCGAAAACTACTGATCAGAGAAGCCGGCCTGTAGAATTGTTCTCCAAACAGCGACTGAATTCGACATAACTGACAAGTTAGTGACGAAAGTCTTGCCAGCCCAGCTTGGTGTTGATACACCACACATTACTCTCCTTTAATTTTCTTCTGGTAGAATTTCCATTTGCTAAAAGAGAGTGGTTAAATGGATAAAATGTGAAAAATTTTCGTGCTTTTTGATAAAATATTTTTTCAGTACAAATGTTACAAGAAAATAAACTGAACCATTGTGTTAACAGGTATGCGTTGAAAATATTGTGTTCTACACCATTTTCGGTAGTGTTATCAAATTTTGAGAAAATACTGAGTACGTTATTGCTGTATATGAACACTAAAATAATTTCGTTTGCACTGTTACTTCGAAAACAAATGTTTTCAGAATGCTTCAGATAGGTTGGTTCAATATCAGAAAAGTAAATTGAAGTAGTATGCATACAAACGTGTGTTCATTTTAGTTTTAGCATTGTTTTTATAAAATTGTTAAATTTTATAATCGTACCGTGCTACAGTTGGTATGGCCAAGTGATTCGACCACGTGATTCAGAGGCTCGGAGCGCATGAGCTTAAGTATGGGGACGCTAAGGTTGTGTGATTATATATCATGCAAAACATAAACGTTTTCAGTCGTGTTTGTGGCACGGGGAAATCCAAACTTTGTGCCAGGTAATGGAACAGTCATCGAGTTAGGGCGATGGAATACCATGGCCAAATAGGTAAAGGTACATAGACCGAGATAGGTGTGTGCGATGTTCGGGGTGTGTGAAGGTGATCTTCGTTACCTCTAAATAGTGTAGTAGACTCTTAGAAGGGAAGGAATACTAACTAGTACGAGGAAGTTTGTGCTATCCTGTAACACCACAAGTTAATTTTTCGCTTACTTACCTGTGCGGCTCGTACCCCAACAAACTGAGAGTTGCAGCTCCATCGAATAAGGGAAATGTTATGTCCAAAATTCAGAACTAATATATATCGAAATGTAAGCAATTCATATATCGTAAGCTGTATAATATACAGCAACACGTAATCAGTTCATTTTAGATGACAAAAGTTTATCTTCACCTAAAATGGAGATGGAAAGGGTTTGGGGATGGAAAGAAAAGAGTTTTACTCTATTCTTACAAGAAATTTAAAGAAAAAAATTGGAGTCATTTAAAAAAAATTGAAAAATGTCTCAGGGCCTTCAAGTAAAGTTCCCCCAAAAATTAATGAATGTTTTTCAAAATAGCATGGTTTTCACTAAGTCGACACTAAATCGACAGGGGTTTCTTCAATTTGAAAAAAAAATCCTATGCATAGTTCATGCGCTAGTATATTGTTAACATATAACAGACAGACGGACAGACGTTTCAAAAGACATTTCTTCGGTATTAGGGGACCCCAAAACGTGTACTCGAATTACCGTTGAAGTCTCGAAATCGATTTTCAGTCTGTCCGTCCGTCTGTCTGAAAAATCTCAATTCTTAATTTTGTATTTGTAGGAAGACAATGAAAAAAATTTTAAATTTCCAAAAATTCAGAGTAAATTCTTCAAAGTTCATTCTTTCTAAGCGTATGAACGTAACTTTCGCAACCCCATACCGGACTCGCATGAATTTGTCCCAATAGCGAACGTTTATCGGCCGTTGCTGCAAGGACATCTTGCCTTTTAAGATCGGCAAGTCTACCGGAAATTAGTCGCTGTGTTACCCTATCCACAACCATCTCCGGGGAAAGGTCTCTCAGACCAGCTCGTTCTAGTAGCAGTTTAATTATGTACGACCAGTAGCTTCCTTGTAACTGAACTCTAAAACACCTATGTACAAGCATGTCAGCCTGTTCACCTGCTAATCTAATCCAAAGATTAATGGGTTTCATTTTTAAATTAATCCAAATCCCTACACTACCGACTTCTCCTAAGACCCCGGCATTTGCTGCGAATCTAGAGACTCCGAGAATTAATGTGTAATAATCTGTTTCAATACTTTCTAGTCGATCTATCCTAACCACACCCCAGATTTCTGCCCCATAATTCATAGCTGGGAGAGCTAGTGATTTAAACATTGAATTGCACACTTTTAAAGGCAATTATGGTACCCTGCCCACTGCGCAAACGATTTCTTTGAATGCAATTCTTTGCGCCACCACTATGTGACTATTCCATCCTCCATTCATGGAAAATTTTGCTCCAATGCAATGTATGTAAACGTTTTGACACATTCATATCATATTGTGTATCATATCATATATCAAACGTTTTGACACG